AGCGTTCCCCTCCCTTCTCATTTCAATGACGTTACTCTAATTTGTAATTTTTGACTGGATATTCTGCCAGCTAGTACGATAAGCCAATATGCTGCATGCTGTCCTAAGTAGATTTTAACTCCGTGCGGTCACGTGCTGGGCGCATGTACAGCCAGCTGGCTAGCCTTGTCGCGTCGCTCGCTACTCATATTATCGTAAACAAGACTCGCAGGGGTTCGCTGTTTGCACATTTTTCAGGCTGATCTCTACGCATCGTCTTCCAGCGTTAAGCTTCCAGGGCTCGCTATAAGGCGTATCGTTATCATCGGAGAACATTAGACTAAGCTGATATTTACCGTTGGCTATGCGAAAGCTAAGCCAGCGATGACAGTCGACCGTATAATTCCGCGTACGCTGAAGAGACAAGATACTCTACAGTTCGAGCGAAGTGTCATTTTTTCGAAAAATCGAAACCGGCAGTATTTTTATCCCTAAGTAACACAACTATAGTTGTCTATATATGTATATGGTTTAGTTGTCCATCCGTTGTAGACACGCCGACCAGTACACGGTAGTCGCTAGCTAGGACTCGTTGTAGGACAGAGCGACCCGCTTTCTGTGGGTGTCTTTGCGATGATGCTAATTGGGAAGCAGGAGTCCGGGAAGGTGAGTAAAGAAGGCAACAAGAGAAAAGGTCACATTAGAGTATAACGCAGGGACGATACTTAAGCAGACCTTCCTACGACAGCGGATGTGAAGGTCGCGCTGGTAGGACCGGTATCAGCAGGAGCCACATTCATGCTCTTACGGCGATTTTATGGGTATTCTTTCTTCTCCTTTGTTTTGCGCGCTCCCCTTGCTTATCACCATCTTTTTTATGTAGCAATCGCTGAAATTGCTGTTAATGCGCTGCAATATGGAAAATTCCTTTGAGTTCACAATGAACGTACTACAGAAAACGAGGATTTAATGTCGTCTGACAATCGAGAGTAGAAACTACGCAAATAATAGCCGATGGCTATATTTTTCAGCTTACCCGTTGTATAAGTAACCGTGCAGTTCCACCACTGTTGACAAGGTTCAACACTGGGTCGGGCCACTTTGCCCTCCGGAGAGAAAATGCCCTCCGGTGTTCGTTGCCGAACGACACTACTAGCTAGCAAGGATTTCGTCACTTTAGAGAAAACGCTTATTGTTAAACGAAAAAATTGCTTTTAATTAGTGCAAGTTCAATAGCCTGCTAATATATGTACTCAGTCTGCTCGTAGTCTATAGACCTGAACATAGACTAGTTATAGTTAGGGTATAAACCCTTGGCTGTTGGCCTGTTAAAGTTGGTCTGCCCATATACTATTATTTAGCTTGAAGGAATTCACCAAGTCTTCGGCGCTTTCCATAGGGCACACATCCATATTCAAGAGAGTCTACCTCTAAAAGGTAGATCTTTGTCCATTACGTCTAACAACTACATTTTGTTATGAAAAAAGATATGGCGGTAAAAAAGTAGTCAGGTAATTGCGCATTGGAAAAAATCTATCAGTCAGCACATATTTCATTAAGAAGCCAACACTTTATTATACACAAAATAATTTTAATAATAACAATATTATATTATGTATGATGAGAGGCGTGGATGCGGAAACACTTTTTGACCTTAGAACAAAATGTTTCTTCGCTTGCAAATGTAAAGGCCCGCTTTTCTTGGTTACATAATCGAACCATCACTTGATTCAGTCACAAAAATGTATTGACCTCTTAATTGTACATAGCATTTCATAAAGTGTCTGATCGGCACCCAAACCATAGAAACTAGCTCCACGGAAAACCAGCGTTTCTTGTAACTTCACAATTTACCAAAAGAATCAATATTATCTTGTAAAGAAGAAAAAATCGGTATACTCTTTTTACTTCGTAAACTAGCCTTGAAATATTCTTCATGCGCGCGTTCCTTTCTTTTATCTAGACCTAGTCAGTCGATCTACCAGTTACCCTAAGATAGAACTGTAAAGTTATGTGTGTGCGTGAAACGAAAAAAAAACGTATGTGACTTTTTCCCCGATATCAATAGATAGCGAAAGTAATCAAAACGTTTCACTCCACGTTTCACTTCTATGCATAGTGACAAAATATAGGCTTGTCTAACAATTATTCTTTTATAAATGTATTTTAAAGTGGTCTTCACCGCACTCGATAAGATTACGGTGAAGCGTTTGTTTAGGACGAGATGCTAATTTGCAACCTGGCAAACCACTGGTAGATACTACGTTCTTTGGCGCCTACCATTTCTTAATTCTACTTCAGTGAAAGACAGATAGAAAGTTTACAAAGTGTTGCTTCTCTCAGCGGACATGCTGCGGCTTGAACTTAAGTTACAACGTTGTCACTTGGGCAAAATTATGATAACATGTTTGTATAGCAGCGAACGAGTCTTGCGAAGACATAGCACTTGACCACCTGCGAACGAGGCATCATGAAAGGGAAGCCATTAATTAGAAACCTATTACTTGTACCCAAATAAAGCCTTACTCAACTCGAAGCTTCTGTATGAAATCTAATTCGGCAATTTTTTTTGTGTGAGTTTTTCATATGACGGAAACCCGGTCGTGCGACTACGGGAAATTAAACAACGAGAACGATTATTTTTTTTTAATCAGTACTAGAAGCAAAAGCTGCCCGGTGCTTCATCGTATTGGCAAAAAGTCATCTTTAACGGGAAGTGTTGCTTTCAACGCGGGCATTACTGCCGCCGTTTTAGCGGTTGTTCAAAAACCTGTCATCATAGAGGATTATATGTGAGAAACCAATCAGGAGAAAGGACCACTTTATTTGCGGTCTTTCCTAAAAGTTCGACGTTCAGTACCGCCGTTAGGGATTCGATCAGACGTACGGCTCCAACGCCAAATAAAGCTTGGATTCGAAGATGTGTTCCTTAAATTTGGTTAGCAAATACGCTACCTCGGATACCACCAATAGTCCTTTTTTTTAATCGTTTTTTTTTTTACCAGAAAATTACGTCCAAAATTGAACCATTTCTGTATCATTTTGGTTCGTAAGCGATCACGATACTGCTACATCGTTGTGAACATGTCAAAATATCAGTGTTATTTTAAAGCCGCATACGCCTCGCCTGATCTACGTTTTACTCGCCGTTTGCTTTCTTATATGTGATACTAAAAAAAAAAATTCTGTGACTATGTTATGCCATTACACAGATTGGCTATTCCGACAGTGGCAGTTTGTGGAAACTGGATGTGATTGGCGCGAGAAACTTCTTTGAGAGCTTAAACCCAATATATAAGAGCACTCTATCTAAAATTCTACCAGCTTACTATCCGGACGGGTCCATTTTCGATAATGAGAATGCCAGCCGCTCTAGAACAAGTCACTAGTTGAATCTATATTGTTTTATACATAACAGACGCGTTCATACGTTATATGGATATATATACGTATATATGGATATATATATATATATATATATATATATATATATATATATATATATATACGTTATATGCAACATTATGCGAGCGACCATCACAGACCCATTTACTTACGGGTCACGGATAAATGTTGCCGGTGAGTTGAGTTCACGCAGTAGCTAAAAGAACGATGAAACATCTAACCCGTAAATTGTAAGATTCGAATTTCAAGGAAAAACTAAGGCATCTGAAGATTCGAACGTTCCGAAGAAGTGATACGAAGCCATTATATAACATTACTAACTAAAAATCAGCGCCATGAAAATGTTTACATTTTTAAAAATGAGGCTTGCTCCAACCGGAGTTGTGCAGAAATCTGGGCAAAATAAGTAAAAAATTTGTAAACATCTCGTATATATTCGTAGTTATACACTCAAGTCTTGTATCATGGATCGCACTGCCAGCAAGGCTATTTTAACCGCAGTTTTATAATCGTAACCTAACAGATTGTTTTTTTTTTAGCTGCTGCTAATTGTACCTGCTTGTAATCACACAAATGAGCAAAGCTTCCAATTGTTCATCAAGAGGCTTCATGCGCACCGTGCGCATCCATAAGGCAATAAATATTTCAATTTTGGAGGACTTCAAGGCTACTTAACATTGTTATTTTTGTCAAATACACAAAAGGCCTGCGACGATAAGGACACGCAGTTAGTCAACAAGAACTTAGAAGGAGCAGAGTAAAATAGGCCGAGGAAGGTGCTTTGCCCTCATCTGAAACAATCAATGAGAAATAGCTAGATTTTGTTCTGACAACAGTTAACGTTCCCTTTTGGTCAAACTGAATGCGACCCGATTCACAGTAGCAGTTAAGTGAGGATCGAAGATGGACAAAGCTGTGCTAAATAAGGCTCAAAAAAAAAACGATGAGTTAATTCGGAATCTCGTTTCCCTATCCATTATAAATAATCTTTTTCCGATGAAACATTGGCAGTTAAATTGCTACATTAAATTTACAATCCTTTCTAAAAAAGACAAGAAATAACGCCGGAATAATTCTCTTATCATAAGGTTCGGCCTTCGACGTAGCAAAAGCTTATAGAAGATTAGCAGGAATCTCCTGTCGGGACTGAAATTGCAATCTGGTCCGTGGAATAGACACTAACAACTTTGAAATCATCGACTATAGGATGAAATCGTTTGAAATGAAAAAAAAAATGGCGTCAATCACAAGAATAGCACAAACTGATCAGTCAAACAAATTTATATTTAGAAGTACATAGAGAACCAAGTATATTTGGCTTCATTGCCGCAGTTACATATACAAGCTATCACATGACCGGAAACAAGATTTCGGCTTAAATAGAGAATCGTACCGATTACTTAATTTCGATGATGAAAGCTTTCAAAATGACTGCTAGGGACATTTTACAACCCGTGTTCGTACGCATTTGCAGGCTTCTAAACTGTTATCAGAGAGCAGTAGATAAGTGCCTCAAACGACTGAACAAACTTGTACGTAGCTCGTTTGTATATATAACAGTTTATGCGTATTGATCCCACTTCGTTTCGTTCCTTGTCTTCGTGGATTGCTTTCAGGATGAAAGCCGCACTCGCAGTCTGTTTATGCTGGACACCGTCCTGTGACTTAATGTCCATCAGCGTTGGAAGAGATAGCGGAACAAATATCGCCAATGGCCGGATGTACTAAAAACGGAGCACAAGATACAACCAGAACCTATATCGAACCCGATTAGCTTCGGAACTCCGATAACAGCACTCCTTCTGATACTGTCAGTTCCATCTGAAGCCCGCTCGTCTGTCCCATTAATAATATTGCATTCATCGACGAGGATCTCGACTAGCTTACTATGTTCCTAAATTTGTAGTAAGGCGTTAGTGTGCCAGTGTGGAAGCGAAAAAAACAATGTATAAAACACTTACATTTCATTCAATTGGGTAATCGATTTCATGAAACGCCACGGACAAATGAAAGGTTATACAAACTATTATCATGATGGTATTGCTATCTGTGTTTTGTCGTAAACTGAATATATCTCTATTGGCAACGATACAAAATTTGTCTCGGAAAAAGCAACCTACTCAAGAGCCGGCTAAAATTATAAGCATAGATCTCAGATACACACTTGATTTTAAATTGGCCTCTAAAAATTATGTAGATTATCAAACTGCGTGACAAAATATACGCTGATTACTGAACGTTAAATATGAAATACAGCAAGACTTAGTAATTAAATAAATCTATTACTCAAAGTCAGCTGGGCAAGTAGCACTTAGCTAACCCATCTATTGTATAAATAAAACGATTTTGTCACCACCGATGCTGGTAGTTTCGTGGAAGTTGCAGTGGTGATCTGCCATCCAAATGACTTAATGAACATTGTGCGAATCGTTTATATAGAATTAACAAACACATCTACATATACAGGCTTGACCCCGCCCATGGTGCAAATCCCTATCAAATAAATACACAACGCCGTATATTGCAACCCTGAACATCTTTATCGGCGTCCCGCTACTTGCGAATCGACCGCATATCTTACGCAGGTAGGCATCGCATCGTATTGACGACATAGCAGCTTTTGCATGTTTGCCTAAATACCCTTATGGCACTCGTTCCTGAACAGGACCCATCGAATCGCACTAGTCGTAGATCGTCACTTGCGCCCACGCAATTGGCCTCCTAAAATGGCAAATAGAAAGTAGACGATATCAGTGTGCCAACCGATGCCCCTGATGATTTCTGATGTTTTTAGATCTTGCCGCGGACTCACAATTCAATTCAATGGATAGATTTCTGATTACCTGACTGATCGATCCCCTTCTCCCCTGCGTTTTGTTGGCAGTTAACAACGACCTTTAATCATTATTGATGTTGTGATTTCGTCAAGTCATTGGTAGCATATATATGCATGTACTGTCGTATATATGAATCTAAACGAACCTAGAACCGTCGGACAAATTCCGTCGACTTTCTCTACGCATGTGTTGTAGTAACTGATGATTACTATCAGTAAGGACATCCCTAAAAGCTATTCAGGTTAGGTTAGATGACATCAAATAAGGCAGCTGGCTCGATGATCAGGAAACAGATGACGGCACAGTTAGGAAAAGGACGAAGCTAAAGTGAGATCGACATGATAAGGCAGATACAGGAGTGACAGACGCAAGAGTAACTTGCACTCCGTTTAGGTCGTCACCCGCGCCTGCGGTCCCATTAGCGTCGACGCGCCAACGCACGTAAAGCTTTTAATCAATGGAACGAGTTCAGTTTTCGACTTGGCTGTTATATGGTGCATAGCTGAACAGCGCCACTCAGTCAGTCACCAGAATTGTTGTCAACGGTTTACATGTCGTTAACAAAGAGTAAATAAAGAAAGGAAATCGTCATACAACATTCGTCTAATGCAGCAAGCATTGAAACAATCTTAGAAATTCTTTCCATGTAAAAGACTTCATGGCCCGCAAGAGCCCCGGGGAAACCGAGGCATCCCTATTCAGTATCAAGCAGACGTCTTACAAACATAAGCGCAGTACAAGTGGCGCCACGTCAAACTACCCAACAAAACCAATCGCATTATGCACTACACTTATCGAACCAGGAACATGCTGAGAAGGCCAATTGATACCATGTGTATTATATCTGCCGGCTGGATTCCAAATAGGTTCCGATCATGATATGATTATTATCGAACACTGCGACGTCTGAACGCAAAGAGTGAGCAGCAGTCACATGCATAGTATCAATAAAATACATGAAACGAAAGAGCTGTATCGACAATATTAACTCAGTCGCTTAAATGACTGTACATGGTCAGATGTACAATCAGTCACTAGTCGATTCATAGTTTGTCGTTAACCGACGATCACAGAACTCGACGGTCAGCTAACGGCCGCACTGCAATAGGGAAGTAACTATAAGAGCTCAATGTAAGTAGCAATCTTACTAGTAGCTTGTATTGGGTTTAATGAGGGAATCTGGGCCGTCCGGGGGCAAACAAAGCCTTGCTAGGCTACCGTCATGTATCGCGTATCCACTGAACCACTGATATCTTCCTTCAGCTAACCGGTATGAGAGTAAAAACCGCTAGCTGAAGCTACTAATCGGTCCGAGCTATCGCTCCAATCTCAATGAATGAGCAGAAGGGAAAGGGAGTCCCTTAGGTTTCGAATGTAGAGCACTTTTTAGGTTAACCTAAATTGAAGAAAAAGGGCTCAGGGGAACGATGATCGCTATTATTATTACGACCATTGTTTGTAATACACTCTCGGGCAGACATTTGTTGCACAATTAGAACATGCGAACAGGAGAAATGTACACAGATCAAAACAACTACGTTGGCAATAGGAAGACAGCTAGTCCGTGATCTATCACAAAAAAAAAGAAAAAAAAAAAACAAAAAAAAGTATCGGCTATTTTATGATCTTAACTTGAGTACCGAGCACTGCGAGCCTGTGGCAATAAACAAAGCGAAAATCAGCTCTGTTCCTTTCAAGGGACCGATTCTCCACCAGCCAAGAAAGCCGACTGGCTAACAGATAATAACACATAGGAAAACTAGCAGAATAACAAGAAAATTATCAGGCCGGTTAGGCACGGCACGTTGAACCAATACAGTCCAATCCATGTGTCCGTCAATCAAGTATAAGTCTAGCACTGTTTCAAACATACTAGGAAGTGTCGATCTCCAAATGGAGAGACTCCCTATCACCGTCATTTCCCACACAAACTACAATCACAGCAAGATCGTCAGCGAGACCAACAACAAAGATTTTACAATCAATAGAAAAACAATACCAACTAGTAACGGCAAAAATAGCATATTGAAAAATAACAAACGTTCTCTGCACGCTCGCATTCACTGTAGTCTGTATGTCTATACTTATGCATCTGCTCGTTTAGAGAATGCACACAACAATACGGTGCTACACGGCGCGTTAATATTTATATCGAATTGGATTAAAATCGAAAGATCAGCATATATCATTGTATCTCCTCTCTTACACTGGCTATACAGTTCAATAGAATTACGAGCGGTCTGATAGACTATGCGTTCAGATACAACAAAAAAACAAATATTTCTTTATACGTCTTTGAGACTGGGCTGCTTGATCACCAATCTGGAAGATGATTGAATCCTAGCAGAGAACAGAAAGACACCTCAATGCATAGACGTTACTGCAAAATGCTCTGTCGCGTGTCATCAGTGCAATATTAAATTGGAAAGACTATCCGATATATTTTTATAGAACATAGAACAACAATATTTAAGTGTCCAAAGGAAATTAAGTCTCCATTATTTAACACAACATACATTTGAAGAAATCATACAATTCATTTATATTTGTACACAGAATGTAGTCAGCTACGCGTACGATGCATCCCAGACAATGGGCAAATAAATACATTTGGCGTGCGTTCTTCGACTACGTCTAAGAAAATTGGTATCGAAAATTTGAAGAAGGCAGACGTCATGAGGATCATCGCGAAGTATCGTTGCTGCTACGAATATTACCGCCACTATTCCCATACGTCACAAATGGCACACGGTAGCGTGTAGGAATTATAACGATGAAGAAGCGTATGATGACCTTAGCAATAAGTACGACATTCACTATTGGTCACTGTTCCGGTTATCAATTGACGAGCGATGAACTTGCGATGAACTGCAGCAGGAAGTGGCCAACTAATCCGCTTCCTTGAAGCTACGACCCTAAATTAAAGTCATCGTGCTATTGCTTTTATCGAATGCACTTCATTCTCTATCTCCAAAACAGCGCATAAAGAAAGAACAAGATCCGTAACTACGAAGTAGCGACTAAAAACAGTTAAAAAAAAAAAAAAAAAAAAAAGAGAAGAGAAGAGAAGAAAAAAATTTTAACGAATCCTTGCTATTGTCACAAACTTTCCATCCTAATAGAAGCATCCACCGTCAAACTAGTATAAGCTTAGAGCATCCCTAAACGCGTTGCGCACTTCAGAACCATAAGTTATCATTCAATGACCCATCGCTGAAAAACAGTTCGAAATCAGCACGCTTCCATTGACACCTTCAATAGAGCTAGCTCGTCAGATTTTACTTGGAAAGATTCTATTTGTCCGAAGAATATTCAGGAGTCATCGATATGAAGTATGATGCGTCTGCGCAGGTTGGCGCATGACAAATTCGTAGCAAATAACCCGACGAGAGGTATAGACGCAAACGAGCAATCACAAATGAGCACTTTACTCAATTGGAGGTTGGGGATAGGGAAGTAAATGTTAATTGTTAAACTACGCAGTTGACCATGAAACCATGAGCCATCTATTTCAGGAACTAGAGGTCCCAAGGCAAACATATTTTAGCGCACTATAAATGAATCTCCATTGTATATGGCCTGGTCAATGCATACCGTATTTACTACATACAGGTGGATCTATATGATATGCATATATTCTATAAAGCATTATGACCGTGGTTAATAGTATAATTATGTCGCGGAAAGACTGCCGCTTGTTCATCCATAAGCACGAGTCCACCATCAGTCGCGAAGGCTACCGTCTCCTTCACCCTCAACCTCTTTAGCCTCTTAGAATTGGCCGCGTACGTCGTTGTAGACGGCGCGCGTTCAAGATGACCGTGTCATTGGTGTTAGTACGTGACGAAAATCAGTCACAGGCAAATGCGCATTGTTACTACTGCTTTTGCTTTCGAAAGCCCCGCTCAGACTTGTAGACGTAGCAGTTTTCACAGAAAAGAAAAGCATACGATAGACGGTATCAGTATGAGTAACAATAGCCAAACCCAGGCAGGAGCAAGGCAGAATTAGTACATTTGCATGTCGTTCTGTAAGCAATACAGGGGTTATCCACGCTCGATATAGCCAACGTTACTTTCATCTTCTGTCTCATAAAACACTTTTTCATTCGCTATACAATGTAGGTAGTAACACTTAATTTGCTGAAGATTAGGACTGAGATGGATACTAGAAACAGTATCCATCTGAGTCTTAATCTTGTGTTAATCTCAGTCTCAATTGTCTACCAGAAAATCTAACCGGAAGGGGCTTGAAGGTTGAAAGGATGAAAAGATGATCGGAGAGGACGAACATGTCACACAACGAGAAAAAAGACGTTATAATACAGAGCAAAGTAACGTGAATCATAGCACGAACCTAAATCGTAAGCTGAAAAGGTACGACGGCGTAAAAAGTTATCGTGAGTGCAGTCTACTACAACTAGTACGAAGGGCGAGAAACACTTAGAGAAACTTGTCGGAAATATTATTGGTTTAGGGTTGTGAGTTCCAATCATCATACCCCGCCTCTGAATACATAAAATCTATGTATGGACGAAACGTCATAAAAGATTATTTGCTTGGTATTATATGGTAATAGTATTAATCACAATTATTGGTCATATATACACTAGTAGGTGATAATCCCAATATCACAGCTGTGCTGGTAACAATAACTTATATATAGATATTTACTGCTACCGTAAGCGTAGGCACGCACCATGGAATTCAGTTAGCATCAATATTGACCGTGTTTTTTAATGAAATATATTTGCATCTGCCCCATTAGAACCCCCTTGTCCTTCAACATCTCTGCGAATGCAGAGGTTGCCTTAACTTCGGCAACGAATGAAACATGAACGAGCAAAAACAGGACTAAAGAGTGCAAAGGAACTTACAAAGGAGAGAAACAAATTGGGTTAAGACAGTTACATATGTACGTCCGCACGTTCCGGCAGTCATCGATAAAGTATCGCCAGCACCCATACTCTGCCCAGACGCTAAAGGAAAAAGCTTTTTGATAAGATTTACCCGTGCATGTGTCAACTTATGGACACTGCAGAAATAATGAAATTGCGGCAGCTAGAACCGGCCTGCGGAACGATCGAAAAATGAATTCAATGAAGTGAATGATTCTTGGAACGGAGTGAGCTAACAGACATACTATACTTGAGCTCTACCATCGTGCACGCACACGCACTCACTCGTGCAGACATAAACAGTACGCGACACCGCATATAATACAAACGCTAGTGTAGCAAGAAACAGGAGAAGGATAACGCCAAGAATATGGCATCCATGATTTCGACAATATTGCAAGGTTACACAAATCACGATGCTAGACGAACATATTATACGAAATGAAAATACTGTTGACGATAATTCATCGATAGCAGACGAATTCGGTGAATTGGACTCCGTATCAAAAGTCAGGTGAGACCATAATCTGCCATAACTTTCCGAATAAATTGTCTTTTACGAAGAGATCCAGCATTTGGTTTGGGACACAAATGGACACGTACACAACCGTATTATACAATATACACAGGGCCTGTATCTAATAAGGACAGGTTGTTTTACAATAAACTGGTATCAGAAGGGTCCAATTCAGCCGATACCTTACACATACTGAAGATAGGTAGGACGATGATAGGTACTCGAGTAAATATACTTACTTTAACGTATACAGTCTTCGAGCCTCAAAGGATTCAGATGATAAAAATTCGTCGACAGTGAAAGAGTTTAGAAGAGATTACGGTGGAGGTACGACAATAGGGAGAAGTGAATTTAAAATAAGTAATAATAATTAAGCTTGCCAAGCTATCAGGATAAAAGGGTTACGCTTACCTTTAGTGAGAAGAAGCGGTCGAAAGGTCCCGTTCGTTCTTATTAAGCTACACTAGTAGACAATGTTACTGCTGTTATATGGATATACTATCGTGATTGCATGATTAAATTATGTTACAATAAAACCATGTACCAGTAATAAACAACTATTCATTGCTTTTTGTAGTAAGGCTATGCCAAAACTGCGAATCTAGCCAACCATTTTGGACTTGAGTGAGGCATCTGGCCTACTAAATGTTTTTTAACCATATCGATAGACACAAGGCGGAACGAAAAATTATGTATTATTTTTCTGTACAAGATCACCGTTTAGCTGATTGACGTAAAATAGAACCAGATGAAGGATGCCTGGGGTCACGTGGCTGACTTCTGAGAGTTTGGAAAGTTACTGTGAGACGCGCGTTACGCGCAGGTGTAACTGTTTTTTTTTTTTTAAGGAACTTCTGCCCATAAAAACGAAAATACTTCGTACTACTATATTCTTAAACATTTATGATTGAAGGCAGTACTACGCCCATGATTTAACTCTAAGGGTCTATGGCTAGGTCAAATTCATAACCTTATTCATTAAAAATTAAAGTTTACAAAATTAATTCAATAAACCTAATATAATAAAGCTAATATGGAGCCACTGACAATAACTAATTCTTACTTATATTTGAAGGATAAACCTGCCTCTGCCAGGACGAACTTTTGCTTTTGTTCCAGTAAAAGCAGATTTTTATTAAAAGGTAATATGAAAAGTGAAGCGCGTTGAAATTATCAGTCGAAAAATGTATAAAAAATAATAATATGTGGTGATTTGGCTAAAAGTTAACCATTCAGAAATCAGCAAAAAAAAGATGCTACCCATTTTTGTAATTCAAATTAACTTATAGGGGCATTCAAGGGTTCATTGGTGGTAAATTTTTAGGGAAAATTTAAGATGATGATAAATCGACCATGAAGCGACATCTGGCCACCAACATTTTCACTGTCAATAACCTATCCTCTGAAACGTTACTTATACATACCATCATTGAGACCAGATATCTTCCTAAGATTCTCACCTAATTCTGCATACATATGTCATTCCCTTATCAGTTTAAGCTCCTTTGGCTTTTGTTCAGTTTAAGCCTCTGTGCCCCCGCCGGCATTTAAGATTTATCGATAGATAAAAGCCAAGCTCAAAAAGAAAGAGCATAATTTGGTGTGGTCTTTTCGGCGATACGCAGCTCGAAAAATTGACAAGTTCTAATATCTTATAAAAATGTTGAAGGCAAGTCAAGTCTTAAGTTGGAAGCGTCATCGTCCTTCATCTCAAAGGAATAATCGAACTTATTTGCTGGTAGGAATATAATGAACGCCGGCTCATGTTGACTGACAAGCGGTTGGTTAACACGTAATACACGGTGAAGCAAGATGCTCTCGAGTCAGATTGCAAAAAAAACCATTTTTTTGATAGGGGGAGAGTTTTCATTACAGATATGCTAAAATGGCAGGTGATATGGCAGTGCTTGCGGTAGGCGTGTAACACAGTTTTGATAGAGGCGTAAGCAGTGAATCTATCTTCAGGTAGTAGGTATACTAAGTATTCATATACAGCATTCTAGCGTTAATTATAATTATTCAGATGACCATAGAAGTCATTAATATAGCTATTGTATTTCAGCTATGTTAAGTATAACATAATATTATAGAAACATAGAAATAATGTTTTCATTTCGAATGTGATTTACGTATTTCCCATTATTCTGACAAATGTAAAATCGAGATTCTCCATTTGTAATTTCTGCTAGACTGTCTGAAAGCTTCTGCTTCATTCTGCATGTTGAAGTGGAATATAACTTACCAGAAATATAACTAAGCGATATATAGATTCATTGCTAGGTCAATGTGGGTACTGAATCATGTTCTTTTTTTCGTTTTAGCAACAATGGAACCACTAGAAATAACTGAAGGTCCGTAGTGTAGGTTTTTATGCTGCTCGTGAGAAACGATTGCTTATCTTTAATATGCTCTTATTGGTAATGGTCGCATTTAGTATATCTTTTAGGTCAAATAAATGAGCAATTGGTTTTCGTCGCTAGGTGGTGCCAGTGTCTTCATTCAGGTGCTTCATCCTATACAGGTTTCTTACGGCTCTTTTTTGCAGCTTGATGAGAGGCGGCTTTTGGTCTTTCGAATAGAAGTATACCATATACCATACTTACACCAAATTTGAATTTAATCGACAAAATATTTCTTGGTTTATATATGTTTAGGTTTATATAGTATGCAAAATTTTCCCTTCATTTACCATTTATGAGTTGACTTGAAGTTAGCTCGCCGTGTTCTACTGAAGTGTACGTTTAAACATAATCCCCCACCTAGTAACAAGGGCTTTACGCGATACAAAAGCACCATCGACAATAGTAGCGGCTCGAACATTCTGAGGTAGGTAGAATTCGCCAGTTGGATAGGCCGGATCGGCTGAAGTACTATGGAGGTAATCAATGTTAGTGTAAAAAAATGTCAATGCATTTGCTTCTTCACACAAGAACGAATTTGTTTACCGTCCTACAGGTAGAGCTAGCATGCATGCTGAATGTTAGTACATACAACTCTCCTGCTTATGTTCGAACTTTACAAGTTTATAACAAACTTCACATCAGAGCTCTCCCAAGAGCTTCGATAATAACCCTTCAAAGGCTAAAACTATATGTTAAATGAGCGTATTTCTGACGTAGACGACTGCTGTAAAAACTAGCCCTAAGAAACAGTTAGAAGTAACCATATTCCTGACCTGCTTCAGCCTGTCGCTAATATTAAAGTACAATGAAGATCATCGATATAATATTGTCATACGCACTTTGAAACTAATCATCAGCTTGCCGTAAACTGTACATCTTAGAAGTCATATTCAAGAAACAACGTCCAATGTTACCCGCCTTACGGTTAGGATGCGACCGATATGGCTTGAATCAACATGGTATGTGTTACCCTAAGCCAAGTTCGAAATTACAAACTATGAATCCACTGATTCGAAAAAAATATTGATACTCTGCTAACTTGCCCAAAAACGAGGGCCGTACTCATGTTGCAGGTTGGGTCGAGTACGTCGTCGTGTCGCTCGGCGAGTAAATTGCATCCTCGTGCATTGACGCGGGCGCAAGTACTTGGACCGAGCGTTTAGTTAAAAAGCGAAAGTAGAATCGGCAGAGGATTTGTACCCTGTTTCTTTGAACCTTATTTGTGAGCTAGCTGTACCTCTATTTTAGTCGATTAAGCCAAAAAATAGCTCGGAAACCATCTGTGACTCCTACTTGTAAACGCTGCAAAGGTAAGGGATGCGATCTTTGAAATGAAACAAGAACAACAAAACACGCCCGTTAGTAAAAGCCGCGGTCCAAAACATAGCCGTGACTCCAGGCTGCCAACTCGTAAATAGAAAAACGGGCACAAAGGAATCTCCAACATGATTCCGTCTCCTGTGTGCGTAATCTGAGAAAACACTGTAGGATCTCTACCTATCCTGTGATAAATACAACAGGGTCTTTCATGCTACATGCCGAATAACTGATAAGGGAGACCCGCAGGCTGAATCAGCGAGGCAATGGCTGTCTAAAGTAGATAGCTTGGCTGTTAGAAGGTAGTGAATCGACTGATTCATGAAATGTACATAATTGGAAAACAAAATCATAGCGTAAATTATGTCCTTACTGCACCGCGTTACGGCTCCAGAAAGCTAAGCGGAAACCCTCAATAGCAAGCCGATGCGCCTGACAATTACACCTTTTGATGATAAGAGAATGGACCTGTCGGAATAGTAAAAAAAAGCTACCCGCGCTGTGACTCCGTCAACAAATACAGTTCTGGTTATGGGCGACGTTTTTGTCGAATTTCTCAGGCTGGCCTTGCGAAAGCTCTTGCCCGTCCTGATATGTGCGGTCACGAACATTGCTATTAATAGTGTAATAGTCGAGACGAAGCTGGAAGGTCTACGTTACAGTCTGAGCTGCACGTTTCGTCTGTCCCTTCTTCAAAGCGGACCATAAGGATGCTAATGAAATACTTATTAGAAGAACAGCACAGAAGAGAGCTTATTGTACTGTTGTGCGTCCCTCAGTTATGCAGCGTTAGGTCGTTGAGAACAGCGATACAACTATGGAGGTGTTCTAGCAAAGGCAGTCACGTAGGAGATTCGAAAGGCGAATGAATTTTTTTAAAAAAGGAGAGAATCAAGAGGAGTCGTGCACACGAGTTGCAGTTGTAAAACTCGGTACCGGCCACAACAAAACCCGTCAGTTCAGCTTGTCGGCCTAATTGTAACAGCTCACAGCATCTGTGAGTTTTGCGAAGACTGCGTCGAACGGTCGTCGCCGGTCGAGACCTGCAAAGAAAACCTCTCGTGATTTGAATCGAGATATGCACGAGATATGCAATTTCCGTAGCCCGCCTTGTCAGCAATGGTTGAAGACTTTCTGCACCAGGTTCTGATCGCGCTGAGAATATGAATAATGCGCAAGAACAGCATCTTCAGCTGTCGAAGTTCGTCGCAAGCATGCTCTCAGAACAGAAGTTAGGGCCCAGCTAGAGGATGACGCTGAAGATTATTCAGTGGAGTTGCGGGGGAATCTCTACACTAACGTTATTATGTATTTTTAGCATATAAACAACTTAGTTGATTCGCACAAGCCATACAGGGTGTTTCCGATATGTTAGATTGCACTCCTTGAAAGCAAACAAACATTGCTATAATAACCTAATAGTATCGACGTAAACGATTATCAATCATGAGGCTTAAACAGGCGAGCCTTTGTTTGTCCTATAGAAATTTTGATTCTGTGATCAAAGAACGTCCTGTATGTTGGAGACGCAACAGTTTCAATTGTGAGTTTTCGACAGCTCTTTCATGGGCTCAGTGACGGCCGTGATAGATAAAAGTTCGAGATAGATGTACGTCATTTACTGCATTCTTGCTATTTTTATACTTGTTCCTTACTATTCCTGCATTAATTCGGCCGTCCCCATGAACTCGTTATCCCATGAGGCATACTAGAATCGAAGCACACTCAATATAGGAAAACAACCAATTGCTTGTTAATTCCCTCAATAGCGAGTCTACGTTTCGGCAAAATGGACCTTTTGCTGCCGATATTCCTGATAACGTGCCAACGATAAAATCATAGATCCGGGAATTAAGATTACATGTAACGAATTTACTGATCCGTGATTAGCACTAATACATAATTTTACGAATTTATTACAACAAGGATCTCTTGACGAAAAGCCGTTAGCTTAGCTATCGTGATTTAGACTACCCTGTCGGATATATAAGAGGCCCGTGCAAGCAACTAGTGACAATTAGTCTGTGTAGTGCCAGCTAACGGTTCTTAGTCTAATAGTTCCAGACCACGTGTCCTGTGCAAGCAATCCTGTTCCTATAGCATATTGAGTTAACCCTCATCTCCGGCTTGCCGATCAAGATGTCGCTGTTGTGTCACCGTGAAGTTACGCCAACTTTATTACTGTGTATTTTGTTCGTTGGAGGTAAAAGACACGAGTAACCTTTACTTTATTTTTTGCCTGCGTAGCTCAAAGGACGCCGTAGAGTATAGCTTCGGCAATCAGGAAGGAATAGATAGATAGATAGATAGATGCAGCTGTCTCTACAGCTTTATACGTTTTTCCCCTATGAAAAAAAAATAGATTTAACTTTCGAGGGATCTTCTATTATTCTTGTGTATACCTATCACTTAATAGGACTGAGCTCGCATGGACTTCAGTAATTTCGATGTTGCTACGTCAGAGCTATATTTAAAAAATAAAAATCTATGAATGTATTTATGACCGATGTTTCTGCCTTACTAAATCAATTTTTCTATCGTACGATTTTGACAGTAAAGGTAAAGAATATAGTAATAGCTAACATTAATAGTAATAGCTCGACGCACCAACCCATAGCAGATTCTGACTAACCATTAGAATAATAAACCTATAAAATCGTCATTTCGATCGGACGAATATAATCATCATTACCATGATGTTATGAGCACTGCTAGACGATGACAATTTCTCAGACATTATCAGAAGTACATAAGTTGTTTTTGAGGTAGCCGGATTAATGCTTGATTAAAATAAGATCAATTAAATACGCTTGTTCGGATTTGCTTATCCAAGCGTCAGTAGGATGAATGAATAGCATCGACCAAGATGAAGCAGACGAACATGAAGAGATCGCGAAGACGTGCACAATCATCACATACGACTTATTATAGAAAACGAAGGAACGATATTGTTATATACGAGTCATTATTATTATTATTGTTAGCGATGTTCTGAGAAAGGTACCTCTATGGGGTGATAGCCACCCCGAGCGAACCGATGTCTGACCAACGCCTAATCTGTATCAATGAGCTCCAGGAAAAATAGCAACAAATATAATAAAGTAGATTAAAGACACGGTAAATATGCCATATGCCAGAGGATAGAAGTTAGTCTTCTATATATCGGTACAATGGAATCGTATTGGTTCTGTGAGCTTCTGTTATGACTTCTTCTGATATCTTTCGAATGTTACTGATTATGACTCAACGTTTTGCGACGTTCCCACTGCCAGGATCAAGACACAGTGGTAAAACGGATTAGAGTGAATCTTCGTAAAATGTCTGATACAACTCATATTACCACCATGCATGCTATTAACAGGTGGGCATGGAGCAGGATGTCCGAACAAGTACACAATACCTGTAAACGCTGAGGTGGACGATGTCCTAGAGTTTCTTCGGGCGCCTACACCGATCCGAAGAATGATTAATAGCGTGAACTTGCCAATCACAGTGATCGAGGACCAGTTGAACATTACAAGCGTAAGTTCATTACAATATATTGAAAGAGTACATATTTAAAGATTTTTCATAGAAGTGCCAGATTATTATACATAGGATCCATATACAGCAGAACAATCTTAGACTACTCTCGGATTGACGTGAGTTTCCGGTATTCAAAATTCAACTAAAAAAACTTCTTGGTTAACAACACTTAGTTTCTCCAGTTTATTTTATCTAGAATCATTCTATTAAAAGCTCAACTAAAAATTTCAGCTTACAATCATGAAGGATTGTTATTTGAAATTTTTTTTGAGGTCTACAATGTTGCATGTTAGTCGATTGGCTCAAACACGTTATCGTTATATGTACCGTTTTCACCCTTCTAATTTTTCTAAGAAAGCTCGACAATATTTACTGAATTTATCTATAATAGCTAAATTGCATCGAACCAAACGAACTCGGGTTATGGAAGTTTTAGGGAAGGCATTTTCTAAAGAGTACTCCAGTTAACGAACCTTCTATTCTTCTGTATTTTAGAAGACCCTATCTGGCCTGTCCAATGTACACCGATCCGGCGACGCTTCGTTAACTGTTGCCAACCGTTCGCTCGTTATCAACGTAACGGTAACGGTGCGTGATGTGGTCATGGATGGCGTTTGGTGGACCAACTTGTTTGGTACAAACTCTACTGGAATCATTGACTTCATATTCGACACAATTAAGATACAAGCTGTGTTTTCTTTTGAGATGTTCAATGTTACCCTGATTGACTTCAACGTACGCTCCATTGGAAACATCGATTGTATGAGATTTAGTGGTGCTCCATATGTCATCACGAGAGTAGCCGAACGGATAATTAATACAGAAAAAGTTAAAAATGACATTGCGAGAGCCATTGAGAAACGGGTGAAAACTTTAAGCGAGTCGGAACAATATTTCCAGCGGCTTTCGTATTGGTATAACTTTCTACACTAATCGATGTTAACGCTCGTCTTTAACTTTTTTTCCGATCTTTTTTTTTTTGTCGAAACGTTCTGATCCAGTTTGATTATATGTGAATAAAAGAAACAGGTGGTAAAAAAGTTGATTATCAGTTATTTATGAGCAACAAAAATAGGCCATTAACGATTACCCTACTATTTTCATCATCATCATCATCGTCGTCGCTCAGAGTCGTGGAGAGGGATTGCCTATTACTATTGATCTGTTTCTGAATACATCAGAGCAGTGTTTCGAATAAATTAACAAGACCCAAAGGTATACATCGATCACTCGACTGCCGGTTAAAAGAAGCACTTGTCTGAAGCACTTATTTACTTTGTTGTTACAAATTTCGTCTGACCGGAGACGATGATGAAAGAAAACTTGAACTTTCTGAGCTCAAGAAAACAGATTTGATTCGAAACATGCCGCTGTTACAAACTACAACAAGGTATAAGTTGCGCGAAGGAACTTTATCAACGCGTCAATCAGTGAGGTATAATAGCTTTACTAGCGTCTACTAGAATGAGAAGTTATGCTCACATAAAGAAGGTGCACTAATGTTCTTTGCTACAGACCGTATCTCGGCCAAATGCCAAATAGTCTTCATACGTTTTAGTACAGTATCAGGATCGAATAATTACTGCTTCAGAAATTATATCTGCGAACGTTAGAGCAGAGACATTCCAATAGATCAGCTGAATATTTACTGGCGTTAGCAAATGTACGCTTGCGCCCTTGAATAGTAATACTATATAATTGAATTGATAATAAACTAGAGCCTGACGTCGTCCTGGCTGGGCTATAGAATGAGCCCTCCTCCTGGCTCGTCTTACAGAGCAGTATGAAATTGTATTGGTGTATGTTCGCAAGTGCCTTTTGCCACCGCTGCCTTTTTTTCAGCCCTTGAAAGTCAGCGTGGTTTCATTCGACTGAGGCATTTGGGTCGTCCAATCTAGACGTGCGCAGGGGTGCGCTTCTTAACATGCTCTGTCTGGGTGTCGAAAAGTAGTCCTACATAGGATTAATATGGCCGGTTCACAACAGCTGTTTTAATATGAACGAATGTGTACACGTTTGGCGGGGAGATTCGACGAAAAGCAAAGTCTGATGTCAAAACGAACAGAGTTCCATAGAGGTGCTGAATATCAAAGCTAATTAAGTGCTAAATTTCTTACAAAATTAAGAGAAAAGCTGTCGGTCGCTGCTCTTTAGGTAATACATGAACGAACAATGCCAAGTTACAATATAAGGCGAATCAACGACGGCCACAGAGGTGTCAGCAAAAAACATTAAATGTCTAATGATTATCTAGAAGTAGTCGGTAGGGTGGGAGCTATGCGAAAATAAACCGGTCTTATGGTGGATCGTAAATGCAAACGTCTTCGACAACAGTGTCAAGAATCTTCCGATCACTGACGTAAGACTGAAGATGGACAATGAACAAATAATCGAAAGGTTCCAATTTCGAGTACAAGAAAAGATCGATATTCGGTAACAATAGAAAAGTCAAAGTATAGTATACTTTTGGACTATCAATAATGTTTTAAAAACGTGTACTATAATGTATGTATCTATTTCAACACGTGTATGTTTAACCATTTGTTACTGTCGACCTCGCTAAAATACGAAGTCCATCGTCGATTTTTAGCCATCGAACATTGAATAGACTAGTTATCAACACCTACGCCCCACAACCCCAAGTTTAGGATGGTACGCTATGTGAGTGTATACGGTCGCCAATAAAGAGTGAGAGATGACCGAGTATATACTTTTACTACTTGTGAGCGATCGCAATTCAGTTGCATCTGAAAGTCATTTTGAGCTATCTTCAACACTGGTCCGTAGCTGAATACCCTCAGCATTTTCCCGCTTTCTTGTTTACATCAATTTGTTTCATAAGGACTAAATACACATGTTGGCTTCTGGTTGGAATCTTCACGAAAGATCAATTATTATCACTAAATGGCTCCCCTAAATAATTCCCCTCGTCTTAAACGAGTATATATAGTTTTTGCTTAAATCTAGTGCAAGTTTAGGGGTTCGACGATTATCCACTCTGACAAAATCCGCAATCATACTGTTAGTGAATCCTATGCACCTGACTGAAGTAACTATCTCAGCTAATCGATCATCTCTGTTTAGGCTCCGTCACAGCTGGAGAGTCTTATTTTGGGGAAACTGCCCTAATGAAGTGAATCTGGCAGTTACAGTCCACTTTCCTGCTGTCAGAGAACTTAAAAAGTGGGGTTCATTGGGGCGATGAACGCACTAGTAACTCCTCTCATACTCGAATATGATATCTTGCGACAATTTTCGCCTGTTCGGCAAAAATCAATTGACATATATGGGTATCGAATTGAGCTGTTATTCTGCTAGCTCTCGCTTTGTTATCTGTGTCCATCATACAAAAGCTCGGAGCATCTTTCAGACGTTTTCTCACTTTACTGTGAAGTCGCAACAGCAGTTCGATGATAGGTTACGTTTCAATCCTGAAATGCAAATGAAAATTGTATGTAAGAAAATGAGAATTTTCATAGACAACTCTCGAAGGGTATAGTTAAAAAAAAAAAAAAAAAAAAGGAAACATGTTTCAGTCGTTCGGACCGAAGATCCATAGTTCACATAGCAGTTAATGGTATAGTAAAGTTCTGCGCGCTTTTGATTTCCATGAAATTTTGAGTAGATAGAAGATTTACGATACCGTGAACGTATCGTGTTTGAGGCAATACGCTTGTATTCGTAACATTTACTTAGGCAGGACTGTTTCATGCTACATTGTCGGCTCAATGACGTAAATTTTTACGTTTAATGAAAATATGTTTTATTTTTGCTGGTCAATTTTTTGCATCTGTGATATATTTCAAGCAGTATCAAAGTTACAGGACCAACTGCAATCGATCAGTGACTGGACTATTAGCCGATGCAGCCGGCGCTGAGCATTTCAGACGCAGACCTTATCTTTCGACCCATACCTAGGTCGATCATAAGCAAAGAACTAACGATGCAATGAAGAACGTGCGAATTCCCTTATCTCAATAAAGCTTTGCTAATCCAGATAGACCTTTCACAAACTCAATATAGAACTCATTTAATTAATAAGCCTTCTTTCGACTTTTCGTTTGTAGGAACTTGGCAAGCGTGATATGATTGCACAAATGGCTCGGGTAAAATACTAAGCACCACATGCTTTCTTCAAGAAGATATATGCCCAAATAATACGAGACTTTGAGCTTTTGCTAGACGTTTGAATAGGTGCGCCATAAACCTTTTGAACATTGTATATTAGATGAGTACTAGTTTGTTCGAAGACATGAGACAATATCCGCTCTAAGCTAAGTACATAAATATTGAACATAGATAAGTATCGCACTTTATCTTTACTTTAACTTCAGTCATGTTTATGTTTTGCCTCAATTGTCAATCCGGAAAGCTGTTAGGTTTCGTTATTGATCAAATTAGCTGTCAGGTCACGTTGCTTCGGACGGACTTGCAAACATTTAATTATAACTAAACTATTCCACAGCATAACACCAAATACAGTTTCTTCAATAACGAATCAACAGGAATCACGTGTGTTACAACTCGAACTTGTACAATAATGTATCTGTCAAGGCAAAACCATCCTTTTGACCTTTGTCGTGAAGTATCTGCGTTGCGGGGATCTTTTTTTTTCAAACGCATAAAATGTTTGCGCGAACTAGAGGATGATAGAGCTTTGCGTTTGGCACATTGGCATTGCCAACTCGATGAAGACTACGATAATCTCTTCCCACCATCATCATCGCTGAAGCCATATAGTGTCAAATGATGCTTACATAGCTTATAAACTATGCTACAAAGAATCACTCTTCTCATGCCAACGGTAAATATACAGTATATAAACACATGGTATAGTTGCGGTGGAATTTCTTTTTAGCTAGATGGCAAGTTCACCCTAAAATGACGCCTTGTAAAACAACTATATGCCCAGTCGAAAGTTAACCTAAGATTTCGAATTCTACCTACGATATATAAATCATACATAAATATGCAATCAAAGTTGTGCATTCTATTTAAATACAGTGCCCAATCATGCGTCATACGCTTCAGCTGTACAGATGCAAATTCGCCTTTTGTGAAGCCTTGCCGACAATCATCTGACAATCCCTATTAAAAAGTTTCCTGATAAACCGTACACGTAATAGGCTCCTGGGGCATGGATCCGTAATTGGCAGTATCCGATTTAGATTTTTTTTTTTTGATGCACTGCTGCGATAAGCGGATAGTGGAAACATCGAAGTGCGAGCGTTTATAGGCGCGCTATAGCATGAATTGACGCAAAGCTTTCTGCTGATAACCTGGGGAGCACTATTAGCAATGGGGCTACACTTGAGAAGCAGAGTCTCAGTTTCACTGCGGATCAAGGGGCAGTCAGACTCATCTTCTAACTCAACGGTCCCAACTGGGCTAACTAAGGCAAGCAAAGGCACAGGCAAAAAAATCCTTAAACATTTCCAACTTGCCCATTTTACTTAATTAAACTTATTCCTTTGATCAAGCATATTCGTTTGGAAGCTTAAACACTAGAGCATCGGAAAGAGAGCGCGGGTCCCTCAGAAACACATAGTCCAGTCAACGTTCTGTTCGCCTATCTCTGATACTCGGGAAATGGACCGCTCTGTACACACAAGTGTTCATACGATCTTTGAATTGCTAGCGTTCGAAAAAGCTCCTACGCTTAGATACAAGTAAAAGAACACGTATTGCCCATGTTAATTGTACATTTGATCTCCATTCAGATTGGGGCCAGAGGTATCGAGTTTACCACCATGATGTTACAGTGGTCCTCCAAAAATTGTAGCTATCAGTGTTATCCCTTAGCCTATCAAGTGTCTTCAAATATTAGGTTTTTACAGGCAGTGGAACAACAGAATTTGTGTCAGGGCAATATGGTAATAATGGTTTAGATATGTTTACCGACCAGTTATGTCAACCCATTTTGGTAAAAGTGCTGTTATAAACACTGCCCTACGGAACGTTCTTCCGTAATTACATTGTTAGTATTATTGTGTTTATTATGGAGTTCTTATCTCGGTACGTTAAAAATGGCGGTTATTACGTCCGATATCGCCATTGAGGATCGTATCAGACGGTGCGCAACCTGCACGCTGTAAACTTTATCGTCAAAATTAATCACGTAACGTTACAAGAAGCAGGTGGCGATCAGAACGCGACTGTAATCAATGAAAACGACTTCTTCCGCAGAAGCTTGGACGGCAGTTCGACAAGGTTTTAGGGTTTTCTTTGCAGGTTTTTGGAGCTGTTCGACATCTGCCCCGACGGTACGCGATGTAACTGTGCACAAATGAAATAAATCATGCTACGAGGCATTTGAGATCGTTGCAACGTGAGTTCTGTTCAAGAGACAGTGGTCAAACAAGGCATTTGCATGTACAGCTGCATTGTAGATGGAGCACTTGATGCAGTAAAAACGCTTAGGGCCAATAAATAAAATCGACAAATGATGACTGGTGGTGGGCGAAAGAAAGCCTTGTTTCGGGCATATTTCTAAATATACAAGCACATATAAGTAGATTTCTTCATCACACTAGCGTAAAGTTTGGGTGCTGCCAGCTTCCAGTAGTACACCGAAGTAGTGAAATTCTTCGCAGACGAATTGTCCAACGCATGCAGCTTAAGGCTTCGAAGGATCACTGGACGAAAGACTTGCGCCAGCCGTTATACCGTACATAATATAATAGTAATAATCAAGTATCATTGCAGAAGCAAACGTACCAGCCAGACAAATATCAACTGTCATCACAAAGACGTAACGAAATACGTTAAAAACACGGTCGACAGAAACGTGTACGAGCAACAAGGAAAAGATGATGTCTGAGTGATGCCAGCTGATGCGAAACTCCTTTTAGGACTATAAAACGTGCTCTTGTATATGGTTGTTTGTGAGTGTGTCTGTGGAAAGAAGGTCAACGGACTTAAATAGGTCTCTGATCAGGCAGTCTGTGCTCGTCACTAGACCTTTAAATTAAGCTTATTACAGTAGTCACCTTACTGAGTTTAATAAGCGAAAGAATTCAACTGGCACCCTGGCAGGTGTAACTTTATTCGCACGACTGATCCCATTTAGTTTACCCTAGAAGCAGCATTTGTGAGGTATAAAGCTCTTTTCATTTGGGGTGCGATCAGGCAAACCTGGAGGCTTCTTCTAATCAAAAGCCCACTAGTGCTCATTGGGCACCCCGTTGGGCTCACCTGAGTACGAAAACCTCACCGCTTAACTAAATATTAGCTATGCATTTTTGCTGCACTCGTTAAGTGGAGAGGGAAAGTTAAGAGAAAAAAGAGCATCGGTATAAAGACAGTTCGATTACTAGGAATTGATTCTATTTCTACCAATAGAGCACAAAGTCACAAGCATTTTGTTGAAAGGGTTATATCTTTCATTGGTCTTTTTAACGGCAACATGAACATTGTCAATTATGTAGCATTGTTCAGTGCAGTCATTCAGGCATCCCAGACGTCACCTATTTCGGACAAATATCAGCTGACGACAAAAAAGAAGCACCAGTTCATCGAGACGGGACACTTGGTAAGCTCTACTGTACAGTCATTTTACCATATTCTAATATACAACAAGCGCTGTTGTTGTTTAATAGCGAATAATCGAAACGTACGATTCTAGCGGAACCCATTTACCGCCGCTCAAAAGAGCACGTAAAAATCGGTTACGAAAAATTGCCCACAACAGCCTTGACGTAAGTGTGTGTCGCGATTAGCATTAAGAATAATAGGAATCGCTATCAAAGAGATGATCAGTGGCATACAACGATTCTCTAGTGAAGACCAGCGGCAGGTACATTCAAGAGTAGAATTCACGTACACGATGGTGGCTTGCACTTAAGCTAGCCATAATATAACATGAGGTATACAGTGTCCTGTTTTATACAAAGTTGGTACAATTTTGAGTGAAATCGCCATGGCGGAACTCGGTCGAAATGGAAAAATAAAGTCCTTTTTTTTTGAGAGATTTTAACGTGTTCTTCGAAACCATGTATGTTCTGATTAGGTGGCGTGCCGCTTGAACGAGGACTGTGAAGGAGGGATGTTTTGTGACACGCATTATGGTTTCTGCGACAAGCTGCGACTTAAAGGTGAACCCTGTCGACAAGATAGTCATTGCAAGGATCGCTTGTTCTGCATGTTTGGCGAATGTCGAAACACTCCGAAGACAGGCCAAGAAGGCTCTCGTTGTGAACGGGCAGCAGACTGTCGACCAGGCCTGTGCTGCGCTCGCACCAAAAGCGAAAAGGTTTGCAAATCCCGCCTATCATTAGGTGAAAGGTGTTATATACCTAAAGGCGGGATCGATTTCGTCCTTGATGAGGTGTGTCCTTGCGAAGAAGGTCTAGTTTGCGGCTCGGTTTCACAACAGCTGGATATGACATCTGCTTCTGTAGAGTCATACGACCATTTACGTTGCCGTCTACCTAAGGACTCGTCGGATAAAACACAGGAATTCGTCGAACTAACTTAAAGTTATGCAAACAGTACGAGTGATGTCAAAATAGTTAGGCTGCGTATTCACATAGATTGTGTCGTTTGACAAGCGTCTTCCCAGTTACCTGGCAGTACCCTAAAGACAAGTGCGTCGATTACTAACAGATGGGAAACCTCGACAGCGCTGTAAATATGTAAATAGAATATGATGGAATAACTTATAACAAAGTATGGTCCATTTGATAATAGTGGCCAGATTTATAATATATTATTGTAAACTTAGCAATGACTGCAATAAAATTGGAAATTAACTAACAAGGAGATTTTTTAACTGAATTATTGGATTTTACCTTCGGCTTTCAGCCCGCGCTGTCCACTTCGTGAGTTGAAGCCAACCCCGGGGTGTGGGATTGGTAATATTCGATAACTTCCGCTGTAGTAGAGTGTAAAAGGATACCCGATGATGCGAATGTCAATATCATCTTTGAGTCATAATACATTTCTTATAACTGCAAACTACTAAACCGATTACATAAAACCAAAGTCGCAAGCGTTATAAAAACAAAAAAAAAAACTCTATCGGTAGAAAAACGAACTACAAAAGCAAATCGTTTGGGTAGGAGACCCTCCACCATAGAACAGCTTTCTGTCGCGCGAGAAGCTCGCAAATCGACAGTGCTGGATGTGTATATAACAGTCAAAATAATGCATATTTATTGACACACATATGTACAATTCAGTTGTCGTAAAAACCTGTCTAGACGCACCATTTCTGATTTGGTTCTTTAGACAACGGCTAATCAATCGGAGACCACTCACATAACTGTGACGTTGAGTCTTTCGGAAGTATTCGGCGATCAGAGCGCTACATCAAATAATGTAACAGCTAGTCACGACAAGTTTGTTCAATTAGCGAAGTACTCAAAGGGGCTTTGGGCGGAGCAACCAAACCGGTCACCCTTTCGCTCTACACACGAGTCTCTTCAGGGCCGTCTTCGACATCTTCGAAAACTGCAACCCTTAAGTCTTATTATAACAGAGGACAGAACAAACAATACGTACGTTTCAATTACACCTTCTAGAAAAAATGATTACGTTGCTTTTCTTTCGTATCAGGCAAGAACCAAATCGGAAAAGCACTCGAGCGTTTGGGCGGACGCAAGGATCGGATAAAATTTGATGGTATGAGTAAACCTAAAGCTTTAGTAACTGACCATGTATGGGTCAATAAACATTTGTATAATTCCAATAATTTAATACAGGACGGTGGGTGAACTAACTTACACTACGGTATATTCCAACATCTGTTTATTACATTGTCAGTCTGCTACAACAAAATTCCGTTTATGAAACAGTTGGTATCAATCGAAAATACAATTAAAATCATATAATATAGCTATTTATTATAGACTATCAATATAATTTCAATCACATTTACGGTAAGCTTCTTTCTGAACAGGTCTGTAGATTTTTAAATAGTTAAACAATTCTATGGTGGTTGGTGAGCCTCAGGATAATCATGTGATTTGTAAAGCATAACATAGCATAATGTAATTATTGCGATTTATGATACTATTCTATGAAAACGTTGCCAACTATTGGGGCTTTTGCCCGCAGGATACAAGAGATAAATTCAGCTTTTTAAACCCAAATCAATTAAGAAACATAAAAATAACTGACCATCAAATAATAAGCAGGCAACCACGGCCAGGAAAGCTGATATTGAGAACTTGAGTAAAAAAAAAATGTATCATGAATAAATATTATGATGATAATTGGTTTTTTGGCGTTTGGCACTACCATGGAGGTTGTGAGACGGCTATGCGGCGACATCCTCGTAGCACCTAACTCCCATCAATTTTTTCAATGGTTGGAATATGGTGACAGTCCCAACTGCGTACATAGATATTTTTTTTATGAGAAAGATCTTCGTAAAAATGCGAATGTTAAAAATCGGACCAGTGGTTTGAACCAAATTAACATATTATACTCGCATTGGCACCGCGTCAGCTATTACTTGGACACGCTACTATTATCGACAACTATGAAAATATGACAGGCCGTGAAAAGTACATGAGCTGTTAAACGGTGCTCCCGGTATAAGTTAAGACAGAAGTTTCAAATTCTTGAACGCGTTTCCTTTCCTGCGACTTTCAAAGGCGTGATTACGTCTGCAAGATAAATCTTTAATTTTGTAATGCAAAGATGCCGCTTGTGTTTCCGTGTGTAGTATGTCTTATAGTGTACTGCTCTTCTAACTGGAAGTAACAATGTCCATCATCTTTTAACATGTATTTAAAGATTAAAATTCGTGAATACTTAGTTAAAAGGTCGTATTCACAGAAGCTATAACTGATATTTGCTTCTTAGTTAACCGTTAGACCGCTCACGGAAAAACATGTTGCATTGTCTACAATCCATTAAGGGTTTTGTTTTTCGACGCTTGGGAAATGTGTATCATCCGACACGTGTTGCAGTGATCTGAACGAACGAACGATCAGCCGGTGGGGCCAGGCACCGAGAATTATTCAGCATTGCAAGAAGTTCCAAATCCTGATAATTCAGCGTTGAGTAGTACTCATCGGCATAAAAAAGAATTTCACTTGAAGCCGTGAGTTAAACTAAATCCGCTTAGCTTTCATTTCGTCCAAAGCAAAAGGTCCTGTTTGGAATTTTACCATAAACATTACATTGATCACTTCTGGGTAGGTCACCTCCTAGTTCATGATTGATCACAGGAGCAACCAAGGGGCAAAATGGACATATATGTGTTTCTTTGCTCTTGCTATGCAGTCCATGATCTTGATAAGGCTAATACGTCAAATGCTTATAATAACACCTGCACCTAGCAGATATAAAATATATTGCGGGGCACCTCAACTCGAAAGCATCACCAATAGGACGGGTCGCAGTTGCCCCGTGTACAGGCTTGTTGAGTTAATTACTCAAAATGAAAACATTTATTCATAAACCCCTAATATACAGCTTATTTTGATTAAACACCTTATGTGTTTTCCCTAACTTTACACGTACAGCATTCCAGCAGATATTTTCAATTACAGTGACTTTACATTACTGTTTCTTTCGAGTACTCTTGAAAAAACGATGCTTTTTGTTGTTTCGGCTGTAATCAAATCCATCGGCTTAGTTGAAAACACAATGATGTGAATTGTCTGTCTAATTATGCCACTCTATCAATTCAAATAAAAAACTGTCAAACAAAAAACATTGCAAGCAAAGAATAACAACGTCTATTCCTTGTAGGGCGATAGATCAGCAGTCAGCACAACATACGATCTCATTTTCGGGAATCAAAAAGTTGTTTTTGAAGATGGTCTTCGCTGCATTATGGGAAGTTTCTGTGTGTCGATAAATGATTACCACAAATACGCCGCTATCTTCATCATCTGGCAACAAATTGAAATGCTATTAATAAAATGCTAAGATATTCATGGTGTCGCTTATCAATGATTCTTCCCGCTTGGTGACTCGGCAGCTCGCTGACCCTGCGAAACGGCCCGCAACACACGAATATACATCTGTGTGAAGCATTTGCGTTTGTCGTTGCACTCACCTTTTAGGTGCTACTTCAAAAATATGCAAAGCCCTTAAATTATCGAAAATCGAGGCAAGCTATTTCTATCTCAATTTTTCTATTAGATCTTCCTGCTTTTTAGTGTTCTTCAATTCCGACCTTTGGCTAAAGCGTGTAAGTATCGTTTTCATTGGACGGAATGAAGAATACATGCTTGTTTGTTTTGCTGTAGTACTATAGTTTTTAATTCGATGTGAACGAGTCTTCGGAATCATCGATTTTTATTAGGTATAATATATAGCACTTGCTTCTATAACGAGTCTAATCGGACTAGATCTTATTGGACTATCTCTGTTTAACACACCTATGAAACGGCATAACGATTATACAAGTAGCGATAAAGTTAATAACAAATAAATAAATTCGCCATTTCTTACTTGTGTGATTATTAATATTTGGTAAAAATTTCTGTTAACGCTGAAATTGAGATTAGCGGAGCCACCTAAACCACGCCGTTGTTTTTGTGAGTTTTTATGTGATCGATTTTATTACGGAGGCATTGAAGCTGCAGTAGTGCCCATGTGAACACTTGGAGGTATTCTCCGTACGTGTTTACCTCCGCCTCTCTGTTCCAGTTGAACGTAGAAATGAGATTTAACGTTGATTTATCGAAGGTATCTTAATATTATACGCATTAAGCTGTAATGAAGATCAGAAACTAAATCTTTTTCATTGGCGCAGCTATGCGTGTAAAGGGTCTTGCGTGGATATAATAGGTATTTGAAGCTGATCATAGCAAAATGCATCACTAAAAGTGCGTCTTATATATTGTCAGTTTAAGCTATTATTTCTTTCGGAGGAAAGCATTTAGCCCGAACAATCAGGTCTTTTTTCGCACAGTACTCTCGCTTGTAGACTAATTAATAGTTGGTGATTTTTCTATGTTATATTTTTTCCGTTTAGGATAACGCTTTCAGAAAAGAAGATACAATTAAAATCTTCGGACAGTTATCTTTTAGAGATATGTCCAATAATATTTCAAGGGAATCTTCATCTCATTCGAGCTGGCTGCTAAGTAACTAGAACTAAAATCACTGAGTTGAGATTATAGTTTTTACAATAACAATAGATTGGTTAAGCGCACTGCATTCATTACAAGCATTCAACAACAGATAGAAAAACAGAAAGGCCAACTATGTCCCGGATCATTGGTGCAATTGGCTCTTGCTAGAACTTTCGCCCACTTGCGGAAGCTTCAGTGTGAGAAATCTGCGAATCCGTATTTCCTGCTAAGTTATTTGTTTGTATAATAGTCTCAGTAAAAAATGTCAATAAATATCTTGAGCTCTAACGATATTGCACCTCTAAAAATCACGGAGGATGATTCAATTAGGATAATCGATACGCTACCATCGAATCCGGCGAACTTTCGCCTTTAAGATATAATGATGATTTTCAATGCGTGTTAGAAAATACTCTTCTCTATTTTTTACACACACGTGCTAGTGCTAGCAGCTTCTAGACACGTTTACACCCACTATTCCTTTTCGAGGTAAATGTGTAGAAGGATACACTTGCCCGGCACTTTCAAGCTATAGAAGGCGTCATAATCATACGGCCTTAGACCGGGAGAGTGAGCAGATCGAAACCAACGCTGCATACTATTTTGCTCAATTCAGAATGATGTTCGGCGTTGTTATGAAGTAAACTATTTTCCTAAAGGATTCGATATAGCGTGCTACATTCATTACTTCCTTTTTGATGAGTAACAGCAGACGCGCCTGATGACCACTATAAGTGTTACTATAACTTCACGAGACTGCCACCAAACTCAGTTCCTTTCCAAAGCGACGGCATTCTGTCGCGTGATTCTTCTCCGACGAGCGGTGGAGATTGAACTGTACCGGTTAATTCATGGGGCACCTGTCTGTTGCTCTGTTTGGGCTGGCGTTTTCAGCATTCTGTGACGCGTTGTTTTGGCCGACAAAGCTTTTAGACTCTAAGCTCTACCGTAATGAAACGCCTCTTCGATTGCAAGGATGTGTTCTAGCTTTTTGGTCGTCTTCTCACGGGTCTTCGGCACTCCAATGTCCGTTCTGAAAGCCCTTACCTACTGTATTTTCGTTTAAGGGTTCTTTGCCCAATGTATGCACTGCCCTTTGGTGAATTTGCGTCGCGCTGAAAGGGTCCTTTTGGGTTATCTATACGTTAAGGCGGGCTCAACATTGTTTACAATTAGAAGCATCAGTAAAAAGTACATTCGATGTTTTGCTTTTTTCAAAGGTGTAGTGAACGATCAAATAGTACTACGCAAAATTACTTTTATGTGCTTTTCTTCTTTGAGAATCAATATTTCTAAGGTAATAATACAAAGCAGGCCAGCGTGAGCTTTGGCTTTAATGTAACAAACGTAAGCACTTAAATGGTAGGCTAGAAGGTTTTGAAAAGTAAAGCAGGCAGGAAGTAGGGAAAAAAAAACTTATTTACGTGCAAAAGTATCTGACTATGACCATTAGATTATGTTAAGTAGAGAACGATAGAATCACTCGCTGATTATTGCGAGTATATTGCGGTAGATGATTTTTGAATCCCCAAATATTGACATATTGGCTTTATTTTTTAGATCAGCATTCAAGCTAATCGTGCAATTGAAGGATAAAAACAAACAAACTAACAAACAAACGTTAGCCTACATTTTTAAGAGACGCAGGCTCAGACGATGTATAATATATAAGATAAGTATGTCAGTATTTAGTTAATGCGAAAAATACACAAATATGGCTTATCATTATTACTGAATGTATTCACTGTTTTACCATATCATCGTCACAGAGTTGACTCGTTATAAGTGTCAATGTTGAAAAGTGCCATTTTCACTGCCAAAGCATCATTGACCTTTGCGTGTGCGCCCACGAGGTGTGCCTGTATCTCATCGATGCGTTCCAACCTCCCGAAATGCTCGGGTTTGTTTCCGCACTTTGTTAACCTTGTTAGCTAGCACCCGGAAGGAATAGAAATAAGTAGTTCTTCAAGTAACTTTGTTTCCAAGCTAAAAAGCTAAATTAAAATTAATTACTATTTATTTATAAATGTGTATTGAAGAAACAGACTCTTCGTTACACCAGCTTTCTCAGACGATCATATATTTCTTTAAGCTTTGAGTGGTAAAATAGATGCTGGAGTTCTGTTGAACTATTAGAAAAAAATATGCTTTCTCTAAGCTGTGTAACCCTTCCAAGATTTGGCCTCCAGTTCAGAATACCCCTGACAAATTAACCGCTGATTGGAAAACGCATATATGCTTTTGGTCCAATAAAAAGCAAGTAATAACAAAGTAGAGAAGGTTACAAGTATTCGTTCTGTACCAAGATAAAATCAGTAAAAAAAATAACACTTCAGAAAGCATTGCCATTAACAGTCTTTCGATGACATCGGATAGAGGAATCAATCAAGAATACATAGCGCTCATAAAACGAGCGTTACGAAAAGGTGCTACTCCCGTACGTGAATCCGTCACGTGTATCTCAGGTAGCTCAGCTTTTGCTCCACGTTGTTTATTTCGAAATAAGCTTTAGTCTCTACAAATAGGAATATAAACATTTCGTTTACATCACGGTTTCATATATTAGATTTCTGCAAAAGCAGACATTGAGTGGTATGGGTTTGACGGTTCGATCAGAATTGATACACATTAGTCTACGAAGTAGACGCACGTATAAGCGAACGTTTTTGTAATGACACGAAATTCCATCATCATAGGGAATATCTATTGAAGTTTACTATTGTAAATATAAGTAAATAACACAGCTTATTAACAAATCAACAAGTGCAACACTTGATCGATGCGCATATTTTCCACGGTATTAGAATTACCGTAGAATAGAAAACAGAGTAATCGTCCATTTCACTCACAATATCACACAGTACCTATTCACATCCTGCTTCCACTTATACTGTAACCGAACATAGCAAATTATGGAGTACCGATATGTGGAGTCTCGTGGATGACATCTTTTTGGATCGAATATAACTGTGGCCCGTAATGTTTCCTGTGTTCAAGGGCCACGACTCTTATCATATATCCTGACGTAAACGCGCCATTACTTTTGCCATAACAAAACTTAACCACCCCCCAAAAAAACACACTTTTGTTGCTGGCGGTTTTACCCAGGAGGACTAATGGATGAAGAGATCAGACCATAATTGAAAATCGAAGTTGTTTCTATGCGTAAAGTTATAAAGTCTTTAACGCTGACTCAAATGCTGACCGCTGACGATTTAAGCTGGTGGTAGTGATTAGGTAACAGCGTTTTGAAATTTTTTGTGGTTTAACATGTTACCGATTCAGTATTTTTACATTTTTCCCGAATGTGAACATACGGAGAAAAGGATCAGCTGGTATCACGATGTTTCAGCGATCAATTTTAAACACGATTGTATAATCTACTACGGAGAAGACCAACAGACGGTTCGATCAGTTGATCAAGTGCCAATTCTTGCCTGACTATGATCTTGCATTCGTACCGAAGGCTTTTACTACGCGACTGTTGGCATACATTGTCCCGAATAGCTATACATAAATCTGGAATAGACATTTCCAGGTAAAACTAGCCATGTAGGATAGCGATGAAAACACCTTTTTCAGCCATTTCCCCGGTCAGCCAACCCGGTGAGTTTTCAACTTTAAATACAGTTCCCAGTAGTAATGTTAGTAGCGGAATCTGTGTTCTTGTAATACGGCAGCCTTGCAAACAAGGTCTTTACGAACTTACTTTGTACATATCACTTCAAAGGTACGAAACGTTTTGAATCTATTTCTGTAAATAGCTGAATATTTACAAATGATATGTCATAAGGCCACATAAAGACTTCAGCTCTAATTACAAACGATCATCGCTTTATTTTTACCCTTAACTCCATAAACAGCACAAAAAAAATCTCTGCGTCGTATAGATACGCAGCAAAGGTAAAATTTTCACAGTTAAATTCTGAGAAAAAGTGTTGCCATACATAGCAAGATATGCGTAATAACTTTTTTATCATGTAATGATATCATTTAGAAGTGCACTTTGATTGATATGCTACGTAAAAATAAATATATTGCCATTGGCACAATTTGTTGGCCGCTGCGTAACACAAAAAATATACCTGCTATAGCATTTGATACATCAGTGCCTATTAACGTAAAAAAAATTTAGCCATTGATCTTGATAACATCTCTATTTCTACTGACACATTTCGTTCGATAAGGTAACATCTGTAGAGTATTTTATAGGTTACGAAATTTTTTTTACGTTTCACTTGCAGTGCTCAGCCAAAAGCAGTACGCCCATCAGATGACCGTTGCTTACAGTCGATTATAAACTACTAATGAATCCTACAAAAAAAAAAAATTAGCAGTGAGCTGTTTTCAGCACCTCATGAGGTTATCGTTTCCTTAAAGACGAATCCTTTGGAGGGGAGGATTATTCAAGCAAACCCGTGCCAAGCGTTACACGTCGCTTCGTTCGAGTATGTCTTTCATGTTCGATTTTTTCGTGGCAGGATTGGTGACTTGGGGTGGTTGAATATATGCAGGTGGTGAAAATAGCAATGATTTGTCATGGCTAAACTGAGCTCGTTCGCGACGTCCTTGGACGGTCCTGTGAAACAGATCGTGATTTTTGAGTTAACGATTTCGAATCGCCCGATGCAATACCATAGACAACAAAGTTCTCATTAAATACCCGGAACCCCGTTCTGGGATACATAAATGAACAGCTTGGCCATGTGGAACGTAGGGTGAATTACAGTTGCTTAGGGATTACAGATTGCGAACTAGCATTTGTGTCGAATAATCACAAAATAAGTTACCGCAAAATAGTGAACATGAGCACAAAAGTCGACGTGGAACCAAAGATTATCATCAGAATAGCGTGGACATCAGCTGGAAATCAGATCAATAGGAACAACCCAGGACATTGTAGTTAACATAACCACATGCATTGCTTTAGGTTATTATAAGAACGTCACGAAGTTTCCTCAGGACGATAGCCAGATGAAAAACGGTAGGTTACATAGTGTGAATCTATTTGATAAATTAATATAGGATCGTTGTATAATTTATAGAATGCTAAGTCCTGTTTGTTCAACTAGGCTCAATCAGATAACACAATTAAGTATCATTATAAAATAACACTCACATTTTTGTATGAATAATAATAACGATAATGAGTTATTATCTTACATAGAATTTCCGTTCTATGATTCGTTTTGCTTACGGAAACTATCGGAAGTATCGTCATCGTCACTAGTGGCTGTTTCAGCGGGCTGTTTTAAAGCGAAATAGACCGTCTTTTCAATTTCACGCCATATCGGAACAAAGACGATAGCGACGTCTCCCGTCTTAGCATCCTCGGAAATTCCTGAAAATGGGCGGTCGAGCAGGCCGTCTTGCTCTTGCTGGTCGACTGGCCTCATTTGTCCTAAAAAAGTACGCGCAAAGAAACAGTACATGGTTCGATAGGTTACGGGACTGTCAGTCTCTTGAAAAAAAGTCATAAGATGCTTGATATAAATGACAGAAGTTGAACAAATCGGTCCTACCAAGTAAAGCAGAGAAAAGGCATCGGTGATTACTATTTTCACAGTTTGACATAACATAGCTGAAAAAATGTGTTTATACATATATACTGTAAGTACTATATTAAAGGAACATTTTTATGTGTACCATCGAATCTGTTTGATCTTGGAATCAATAACAAGTTTTCTTCGGCATGGTTGTCGGCGTCTTCGGGGGACCATTGCGTTAGATAATCGGAAATTGTCGATGTGCCCTGGTTTTTCTCCTTCGGCGTATGAACTTCATTGCGATCAGTGAATGAATCATGGTACAGTCGTGTTAATTGATCATTTATCAGACACTTGTCATTGCACCCGCTAGGCAACTTCTGCAATTTTTTTCGCGTCATCGTTTAGACCGTCGATACCAAAACAGATCGCCTGATCTTGTCCTGACGCTTTACGGTAACCAGCCAGTAATCTTGAATTTCTGTAGTGTTAAATAGCATAGTATTGAATAGTGCTGAATCACAATTCAGACGCTAATGATTGAAGCGTTCCTTCATTGTGGATCGTGTCGCATAGATCGTAATGATTGCACTTCTCCTTGAAGTAGTTTTTCCGAACGGCATCATACTGTCAAATGCTAGACTCTTTATCCGAGAAGTTTTGCAATTGCATGTTAATTATCTCTCACGTGATTAAACTCCTGTGATACCTTAACTTGTAAATATCTGCATGTACTTACTATTATGGAAGAAGCGCAAAACTTTTTCTCGTGCTGTCACCTTTTGCAGGTCGTCGTCGTAACCGTCTAGATCATTAGGTGGCTCTATTTCAGTTAGTGGACTGTTGTCAGTTTCTTTACCAACCTAATGCAAATGCATTGAGAAATAGAAGTACACTTGAATAATACTGCTGGGTCGGGCCCCAAAGCCACTGGGTTATTTTTGTCTTGAAAACATTCAATAAATAAAAAAGACTGAAAAGACGAGGAAATGTTACTGCTTATCATAATTTTTATCAGTACTTGTGTAATGGCATTTCTAATACCTGATGAACGTTTTGTTTCTCAGCCAGACGGACTCCGGATGGATTGATCAGATGTCGGAATACTGAAACAAGTTATAAACTAGCAATATTATAGCAGTAGTTACCACTGTACACAACAAAAACTCGTGTGACGATTGTAGAATGTGCAGGAAGTGAACCCCAATTCTTGCTCAGAACTTAGGGGGCTTTCTGAAAATCAGTGCAACACTCTTCCATAGAATCGTTCGATACAGATGGCATGACTGTAATCGGAAAAGCCCTATGGTCAACGACAGCCTTGTTGCGTCGATTGTTTTTATCGCATTATTCTATTTAAAGAAGCCTAAAGCACCATTATGCAACGGTTCCTAATGGATGCTTGCAATAAGCCTCGTTGTAGAAGGGTACGGAAAGCCGTCTGGAGCTGCCTAGGAAAACACGTACCGGATATGCTTCACACAATACTACCTGGCGTTCGACCTTTTTTTATAGGTAGGCTGCTCGTGCCGTAAATCGGCAGCGACAGTACACACAGAGTGCCATTTTACAGTCTCCACTTACTCTGATTTACATCCAACTCAGGCGACCCAGATCCGTCTGAGTCGATGTCATCAGTTTCATCCTCCGCAGTGTTCTCTTCATTGTGCGGTCCGCTAGACAAGACCTCGGACGGGGCGTATTGCAGAACGTAGACTTCGCTGGGTTTAGTCGGTCCATCTACTGCTACAACTGCAAATAGAAATAAAGAAAATATAGGTGTTATTGGGTTTTTGAAGTCCCAATCACCATGAGAAAACTGATTTCGATTATGTTTTATTGCCTTAAGCTGCCCATTATAGAACCAGGCTTTTGTGTGCAATTGACAGTGTTTCATTTTCGTAGTTACAGAGAATCGGCTAAAGGAGCTACATAAACGTTGACGCTGTTTGCCGTCAGTTTCTACCAAGTGTCCACGTATCACGTTCAGCCTTACCTGGTATGAATAATTTGGGAACACAGTACAAAGATGCTATTGAGCATAATGCATATGTTTATATGTGCGTATGCATCGTCACAGGTTAATTAGGAAGAGAGATTTATGATCACTTCCTTTCGAGCCGCTTGGAAAGAGGCACACCATCAATCAGTATTTTTTTTTTTTTTTACTGTTTTAACCATCATCTTGCTGTCAACCTTTGATTCAGGATTACAACAGTCGACCATCAGTTCGACTGACTGTGGCCTATATTGTAACGAACAGTTAGGCTGCAGTAAGAGGTAAAATCATTCCTACTTAGAGATTAATCTTTATAGGCCTATTGCCGTTACCGAAACAAATGTATCAAGCCCTACAATATACGAAGTAATCAATCAGTTCATTTGTTTTTCTCTCTTCGAAAATTTTAAGGAAACTATTCGTCTCACCATAAACCAGAGGATATGCCAGCAAAGAAGCAGGGGCCCAACAAATTAAAAGACGATTTAAGTCCAGCATATTGTATAATTGTTCACAAAGAAGATTGGCCGTGTTGCTCGGGAATTTATCTATAGAGGTACTAGCGCCCGAATGTATGCAAAAAAAAAAAAAAAAAATAACGCAGATTTTTCGTCCAGGAATATATGCTGATAATGTCTTCAAATAATATGACAAAAATAACTGGCAATTGCTTAGCAGCTGAGCGCGAACTTACATATATATAAAAGTCGAGGATTAGGAGAGGACATGGAAATCGTTCGCGTTGAAAAAAAAAACGAAAGGGCCGCAAACAAGCTTGACTCAAAGTTCAGTGTTAAACATCGTGTAATGGCGTTTCATCTCATACTAACCATGTTTAATAGAACAAACTTTGATGACAGCTATGGGCAGTAGGATAAAAAATGGTCTCATGCTGAGGCTGTTTCGATCGGCCGTTCAGCGGCACGCAACGATAGACACGAGAGTATAAGCAGCCCCGTAGTTGACGCGTTTTCACTGTAACAAAACGTAATACGACGTTACGTAATAATATTCCGATAGGTCTATCAATTACCAAGAACAGTAGCCGAATCTGCAGTCCCAACAACCCGCTAAAATTATACATTTCATTTTTAAAGACCAATACGATGTAAAAAGTAGATGTAAAAAGTAGATAACGATGAGCAGGATAGATACAGCGAAAAACAAGTTTTTTAAAATATATATATTCTGACGGTACAGCTTCTTAAAAAAAAAAAAAAAAAAAAAAAAACAATATAGATCACATTCACAATAATGTAACTTGCTGTTCGGTAAATGGCTGTAATACCAACGACAGTGGGCAGACAAGCCGCGAGCCATCGTTGACATGGAAACTCGCTCCTATAGACCGTAAGCGAACAAATCATACACGATTATCAAACAGACAGACCAACGTACCAACAGCAAGGGAATGCAATGCAAAGGTAACCCTTACATCAAATCAAATATAACAGCATTGAACAATAGCTTTGCTCAATTGACCACCTACCAATATTAATGTACAATTCTGTAAGATGAAACGGAAATAAAAGAGGATTCTAGGCACTTTCGGCAACGACCCCTCTTATCGCGTGAGTCAGCTTGATTATAAAACAGTAACTACATATTACATTGTAGGTTTTCAATGGAGCTCCTAAATAGCTTCGTTTGTCGATGCAGACCACTTATCTGTGTTTTTTTTTTTATCATATCGCTTTAAACCAGTCAAGCATTGAACTAAGCTAAAGGTTACGAGATGGATAGGACGAAAAGCGACTCTCCAGGAAGTAATTGACTATAGGACATCCTTCTTAGTGACAATCATACCTTCCCGCCAAACTTTTTCCGACGATGAAGATAAGGACAGATTGTTGACGTATGTGAGTCGTTGTCGCGATTGTAAGCAATCTTTTCCACAGGACAAGAAGGCCACGACCGGAATATGCACGTCGGTGGGTCTTTGTGGTCGCGTCATGCACTTGCTAATGGATGTATGTGCCATCTCGTTTTTCCTTTCCCTCTTTCGAAGAGCATTAGCGCTGGTCAGTTAATTAAAAGGTGCGCAATTCTTCCCATGCCTCTCATCCAAGACCATTTAAAATAAGATTTGCTGGTTGAGCCTAAAGTTTCTTAAATAGGTATCTTCGCTTCGGATTTCTACTGCCTGATACCGTCGATTGTCTCGAATACGACTCTCGTTCAAGCTATTTGACCGGGTTGATGTGCATGGTAAATCATATCAAGTCTTTCAAGTTACGCGGTTTATTTCTATAAAGTAGCTATTACTACAAAACAAAGGTTTCAGTGTTTTGAAAGTGACATAGTACTCAAATATTCTTTCATGGGACTACTAAGTAACGCTGTCACTGTTTCCGTGGCTATTCATCAGACGCGTGTGGTGCTTTCTCATTTTTCAAAATAAAAATTAAAAAAAAAAAGTACAAATAGAACAATAAACGTAAAAGCCATAATCCTTAGATCTTATTTCCAGGATAAGTTAACCCTCTACTCCAGGTTATAAAGGTTTCTCTCAGTATTGGAAAGAGAGCACCTATAACCGACACAGGTATTACATGTTGTTTCATAAAGATAAATACCCTCTCACGTTAAATTTCCCGAAAAGGAATTCCCTTCCAACATTACTCGTTGCAGCCTAGCGATCATTTAGCTTACACTTTAATGGGCCATTTCGAAAACGGTAGCGTTATTATTTAAGCTACCTCAATTCATGTCTGCATAAATCATAATTCTAATCAGTACCTTGAATACACTAATAGGGCAGTTTGGCCCGGCATTTTATTTCGAAATTGCCTTGGGGTCCGTAGTTAATAAGCTACCCAAACAGCGGGTACTCCATTACCGGCCCGGACTTTATTATCTAAATCAAAATACCCCTTTCTTGCATTGCACAATCCGTATTTCCATATATAAATTCTCAGCACACGGTATTAGACTCTAGGGGATAGGGCCTAATTCTAACCGTTGGGCGGCTACAGATTTTGTAGAATGATTTCCATGCAGGATAGGGTGTTCTTAGATGGAGCCTTAATGACGTACGTACAATCCTGTCTGATGTCTCGCGAATCAAAAAATTTTAATTCTTCAAGCGATCCGCTTAGCCGCAGCTGTGTTTTGCCTATCGGCTAACGCCAATGGCACATAACAACTGTACAATTTGGATGAATAATTTTCGTTTTAATTTATGGAATTTGTGTTGACAGAGAAGCGTAAGCAAAAAAACATCCACTTGATAAACTTGTGGACTCTGCCAACCTTTTTGTATCCGAACGAAAGAGCTTATTGCAAATCCCAAATGATTGATGCCAATCACAACTCCAGTTATTAGTTGCCGCCTGTCTGAAAACCTCTAAGTGTCTCAAAAGTACCGACCATGGAGTGCCTTTAGGAAACCTAGTATTGATTATCCTTGAATTTCTAACTAATCTCCTTTTTCTCCGCTTTGCTGATTTGATACTTGGTCAAAATCGCCATTTTAATTTACATCTAACCATGCTTCAATCTAACATAATGAGCCCAGACGTAGCAGTTACAGTTATCGGCGGGTGGTAACCTATAAACACTTATAAAAGCTAATCAATGAAGCCTTTCGTGTTGGCCGATAATAGGCCGCCTACTGAAGTCTTTCCAATTTCATTGCTTGGCAAAATTGGAACATTTAAATGAGCGTCTAACTCGAATAGGATGCGTCTGACGTCCTACGACAGAGACAGGTTATTACAGTTGAGTAAAAATGAACCAGTGTTACGTCATCCTCGACGCCGTCCAGTTAGAACGCGCAGTCACCACGGTCCAACAGAGCCATTTACGGAGATATAAATCACTCTGAAATCTCCTGATTAGTGTAGGTAGTCTGAATGGGCCTCACAGGCAGGCGATTCTTGCGTTCTTCACCAACTTTTCAAAGAGGCAACATGGCCGCTGTATAAAGAACGGCAACGGATTTTCGCGTAGGAATTGTAGTGTATAGCCGTCGGAGATTGATGGTGTTTTCATGTGTTGTACTCGTTTATGCGCGTGCACGCCCATCGTCAAGTTTAACCCAATTCAATAGCTAATGTATTTCGTTTCTACGATGTTACGTTATGAATGACAAAGTTTAGCTTTAAGGATTGACAAGGAACACTGAATTCTCAAAGAACTTACTATCCCAACAGGAAACACCCAACTACTTTGGTATTTCAACTTCAAGTCACTGCTATTTAAGTTGCCTGTTTGCTAATATCTATTCAGAGCATTGAGCTTAATTTGAATGTAACTAGCGATGAAAATACTCGTAGAGGCTAAAGCGACAAGATGTCTAAGCAGCTGAGCCAACAGGTCAGAAACGAGAAATTTAAGCACAGACTAGGTGAGTTTCTCCCCAGTCCCAATAAGTCTGATTCATATTCAATAACTTAAGTCAAGTTCCTAAACACTGCTAGCATATATCTGTCTTACCACGTATTTGTGTATTGCCCTGACAAATTTTTCATCATTGTCCTTCGGTGCTGTTTTGGCTATTCAAGCGTGATCGGATGATACAAGGTGTTTCTACTAGAAGAGACTTGTATGCCGCAGTACGTTAAATGGATTTTTTTCTAACCCCTAGAAACCAGGGTTATTCGAAAGAGTGGTTCGTTGTGGTGTCGAGGAAACCTATTTAAATGTTGGTATGTTATTCTTCTGTTTAATTTCGCTATTCCATAGTCGACACATAAATAGTTCTGGTACCATTCGTGATGGATTGACTTTCCCACCTAGTTTCTAACTCAGGCGTTCCTGCAAAGCGTCAGGATGTCAATCCTGTTAAATGGAAAGATACAGTTATTGCATACTAGTGTTGGAACATAAACAGGTCACTTTTATAGCTCGAAGCAAATAAGACGTATAAATATAACGTAGATTTTAATAGACCATATATACTTTACGTTAGTGTACTATCCGTGAGACAGCTAGCTCCGAACACGAAAGGATGTGTCCTTCGGGTTCTACCCGGGCTCTACCCCGGCACGAGAACATATCGTTAAGAGAGCTCCATTACACTACCTATGATACTGCAACGCATTTCGTGTATGTAGGCAGAAAGCCATTTCATATATTCTTAGTATTACTATAGATTATATTGATAGCTTGCGTAACTAGAAAAAAATTCGGTCTATTTTATATCTAACTTTTGCATTAGTCTTCGAAGTACTAGTTAGGATGCTTGCGTATTAAGTTTATCCATGGTACAGTGAGGTTGTTTTCGACCGTCCAACGTTGATATAATCCGTCTTTGGCTGACAACGTCGTTTCTGTGACTCTCATTTTGTTCATTGTACAAATATTGTCTGTTGGCTGAAAATGGAGACCACCAGTGATGTATTTACGGAACTATTATCGAAGTAAGAAGCAGCCGTTACCTTTCCCGACATCTACCTGGGCTTCAATATTACGTTAGCTCTACAAGTTGGCCTAAAGAAACTACTCCTTAGATTTTATCCTTATGTATAGGAATATGTGGCGTCATTTTAAGATAAAACCAAAAAGGAACAACGTATGTATGCTAGATTATTTCGGACGCTGAAAATTGCTTGTTGAAAAGACCACACAGGGAGCTGATTAGTTCAATCTATGAGTATTTTAAGCATATTTAAGTGTTCAGAGTACCGTTTCTCGCTGTCCAATTGGCTAAATAGATTTATTATACTACAGACTGAGAGGAAAAATACCTTTGTGCATGCGTCAAAAACACTTTGAATTTCTATCCACATAAATATGTACAGCCATACTGAAAAGAAAATCGTAGGTGCAGGCATACTTTAAATGGTGGAAAAAAAAAACACTTGAGTACTTTTAACTTGGCAGTTTAAGGCGCAACGAATTTTGTGTTTATGAGAGAAGGCAGGAGTCAGTTTTGAAGCCTGATTGGTTGACAACAACGAGATTGTATATTGATAACGCTAAAGAACGGTAATAATAATACTAATTATTATTATAATCGTAGTTTACTGACAGTAGACAGTGGCAGACCGACGCTCGGCTGTACATTTTCGAAGTGATTTACAATATCCATCCGCCGCCTGTGTCTACTCTGAATCTTCTGCAGCCTGGCTGTTTTGGTTAAGAGTATTTGTGTGCTGTGATCAAACACGGTCAGTCTCTAAGGACCAATTATGTCCGCAGAATCACGATCTTCGATATTAGGTAATCACAAAGTCTTTTTGAATGATAATGCCTAATTGCAAGATAATCTAGTTCTATTTTTATTTTGACCAATGTAGGACATGACCTACTTTGTATAAAAATGCTAAGCAATATAGACTAGAGGAAAATAAAGCATTTCATGTAACAAATCAGGATTTATGATCGCAGAAGTATATTAAATCTATAGATGTGGCAGTTCTGGGACGGATACAGCGCTTAGTCTCCTTGACGATTGATATCATTTGTAAGCTACCGACCCACCAGCGATAACCACTGGTATAAGTAAACAAACTCAAAATATCGATTCCGAACCTCGGAGGGACAGGAATAATCAAGCGGAAACTTTCAACAGTGCTAGGCATTTATATATATATATATATATATATATATATATATATATAGAGAGAGAGAGAGAGAGAGAGAGGGGGGGGGAGAGAGAGAGTAGGCGTTCATCCGCTACTCAGGGGATAACAAGTGTTCTTTTTAAAAAAGTGCAGTAGTAAACTCGTCGTTGTGGAACAGGATTGTTTTCGCGATTTAAGGGAGAATAGGCCACTGCACAATTTCTTCATGCTAGAAAAATACCTAACAAGGTTAAAAATTTCCCTGATATCGATACTGAAATATTTGAAATTTACTGGCATATTGTGACAGTAAGGTTCGATAAGGAATTGCGTAAAGCAAAACGGAGGATCGTCGGTAGATTTTATATTTAAGGCGCTCAGAAAAGCCGTTTCTGAGACACATATGATTCAAAATATATTTCGGCCTAGATTTGAGACAACATCATCTCGAGTGAGGCAATACCGACCAATATTGCTTGACGCATGCTTACTGTTAAAAGGATTGAAGAAGGATTATGTTGAAACTGTGGATCGCAACTCCGTTAAATAAAAAGCAATGGAGAAACCCCAGATAAGTCCAGCAAGACCCACCTCGGCTGACCTTCTAACGGGGGCAAGCCTTTAATGTCACACCCTTACTACTGCTTTTGTTGGTTAAATAATTTTAAAAACGTGTTCATGGAGAAAAAGCAGGCGGAAGCGTTGAACGAAATGCATCGCTACTCTGGGTTCCGTCCTGCAGTTATCATTGGCTTATTCGTCAAGTCATAATTACCCTGATTTTACTTGTCACCACCAATTTAATATACACACAGTTTGGAATAATTACGGTACATCGAAGATTAGTACTATAAACTGACGGTAATTTAAGCGACAATGGTGGAGGTATCTAAAAGGTATGACCCATTGCACTGGGAAAAGTGTCATTAGTACGGCAGTTCGTGATCGTGTGCCACAGCGGAAAAATTATGACTGGGGTGGGGGGATCATAGCAAAGACTCGAGCGCCAAGACGGTGGTAACTGTAGGACAGATCTTTAACAGCATTATAAACCTAGTACGTTGACACAAAGGCAGGCTTTATGAAAGCCCCCTTTCTAATGATGGTAGGCTTATATGCCGCGCTTTGATTTCAATATCTGAACCGTACAGCAAGCTATCATTACGAATATGGGTTCGATTAATGCTATCGAGTGGTCAATTTTCTAAAAGCATATCCCGAACGTATTATCTACTCGCAGTAGAGCAAGCGAGGCAGCTATTCAATCTGCTAGACTTTAATGATAATGGACACGAGTCACAGAAATCACTCACGATGCAGTAAAAGAACGATCCGACAATATTCCTAGATGCGTCATTTTGCTATACGATACACAAGTAGGATGAGATACGATACAATGAGATACGACTGAGCGCTATTTTTAAGGCGGCAATGCATCAAGTGAAAGAATGATTTACAGGATTTTTTTCATTTTTAATTCAAACGTATGCCAAACAAACAAACAAACAAAAACACATATGTGGTACATAGTTGAATGGGAAATAGCGGGTTCGGCTCGTGTAGATACGTTCTGGACTTTGCAAATAAGCGAACGTGTTCACCTCCACGACAAAGGAAATGATTTGTTCCATGGAAAAATTCCATCCAACTATAGTCTGTAGAACTAGTCGGTCGATGGGACTGATCTTTGACGGAACAGTCCCCCAAGGCCGAACAACAAATAAACGCAAATTCTATTTTATTAGATAAAAGGCAGAAAAAAAAAAGGTTGACCGCCATCAAATAGCTGGTGGATGTATCTAGGTAAACGCGTTGATGCATGTCACTCCCACAAGTGATGACATAATTGAACCATTATGCGTTTTGCCATCTTGAATAAAATCAACCCTTAGTTTCTATTGTTTGTTATATGCTCTTGTAAGCTCTTCAAGCATGAGCGCAATTACGTACGGCTAGGTCCTTCAAACAGCTTTGACGTGCCGTCTTAACGGTTACCATTTCGAACAAGATAACAGCGTTACTAGTAACTGAACTAGGTCATTTTTATTCAAGATAATGGAAATTCAATTCTTCGACGTAAATACGTGCATCTCAGTAGCAAATGACGGAACTGCCAGCGGACAAGACAGGTTTTCAGCGTACGTCCTTTATCCGTAGCATTGTACCGAACCTGTGCTACTAAGTAACCATAAGCACGGACAATCGCTATGGGAAAGATGAATTTTGCAACGCGTAAAGTTGCAAGAAGTTCACGAAAGTATAATTAGGAACGCCTTTATTCGCTATTCGTGACGGTTCGTGTCGATAGATAGCAATATCTCTCTAAATGATTTGATATCATGTTGACGGGAAGATATCGTTTGCTGACGATAGTCTTCGAAAATCGAGAATGTGAGGTGCGTAAAGAATTTAGATGTTTATACATCGTAAATATGGTAGCTTCACGATGCAACGTTCATTAGCACTACGTTATCAAGGATCATCCGTTTCTAACGAAATCCACTACGAGTGCTAACATTTTCATTAAAACCTAAAGATATATATATATATCAGGCTCATTTTGATTATGTCGACGCAGCGTTACGTCATTGTCAAGAGTCGAAGTGAAAAAACGGAGGTCCGTTCTCGAAAAAAAAAAAAAAAAAGCAATAGTGACTAAGAAGCCCGGTGGTACACGTTTGCTCACAGAGTAAACGGACGAAAGGTGAAGAATGGAACATGTCATACGGGTCGTTGGCACAATTTCGAAACAAAACCTGTTTCGGAGTTGCCAATTACGAACGTGTCAACCGTAACAAATTGTTCATCATCCATACGTTCAGCCAACTTTTTCAATCATAATGTAAATAGTTTCATGTGGGGAAAAAAAAAAACCATAATGAAACTAAACTAATACGCAGGAAAATAAATCGACCCGGTCCAGTCATAGTCCAGTGAAATGGACAGGCCTTATTTGACAGCAGCTGTAGAATCGACAGTTTATGCGGTGCACTACGACATCGGCAGGTAATACTAGGCTCCATCTGGCTGCCGTTTACTTTCAGCACGTATTTTGAGCTACTATCAACAGTCTGTAGGTTAAAAATAATTGGAACAAAGAACAACAGGATCGTTAAATAAGACTTTAGCAGGTGTAGGACACAAAGGTTTGGATGTCAAGTTTTTTTTTTTTTATTATTTCAGTATTTCATCGTGGCCATATGACCGTTAGCAGTAATAATAATGGCGATCTTCTGTCCGTAGTTAGCAACTCGTTTATGAAGGAAGCAGATAAACAAGGTGTCATGAGGCGGACTGCATCTAATAAATGTGGCACTCGTTACTTTACGTAGCCAGTAATTTTGGTTTTCTTCATTTTTTTTTTTTTTTATTTACAAAGTCACATTCTAGCTGGATTGTTTCCAAATTAATTCATGAACCTTGTTTATTTCATCAAAGTAGAATGGATCGTGGCAAAGATGCCCTGCACTGCTATCAGACGATGGCGCGCTGCTAAATAATAATCACTGATAAACAAAGGTTTTTGACTGATCCTTGCCATATTTTCTCGTAAAAAAGGAAATCGTAATAAAAATTCACCCGGACTACAGTCTGGCGTGGAAACGATTTTTGTAATTATACCATTAGAGCCCACGATATCCGTGTTCTGCATCAGTTTTATAAGCAGAGTAGTCGAACGGTTCCGCAATGATTAATGTGATTTTTGAACGTATAAATGAAACATAGATCAAGCACGTTAACCCGCCGTCTCAAGATGCTTGACATCAAGGCGATTCGATGTTAGCAGTCCACTAGGATTATTGTTTTTAGCCCATCAGTCATTTTTTTTTTTTTTCTTCACATTTGCCAACAACAGTTGATCAGAGTGATACGTAATCGGAGTTTCGAAACATTCTGCCAAAGGCCTGCGTCGTTGCTTGTACGAAAACGTCACTGATAGCATCGGAGCCACAGCGATATATAGACATGATGTTTTCGTACGAGCTATGACGCGAACTAAATTTTGTTGTCCTATTGTTGTTGTCGTTGACAGAATGTGGAGGAAAGAGTCAGTAATGACGATAGATCTAGTGGACCGCAAATTAGGAAGCACGCTTTCGCCATATTATTCCGATACATCCTTCACAGACGTAATGTACTTAAGATATGCTAAGAAATAACTTCGTGATATCGAGCATCTTGAGACGCTAAACTAAATTGCTTTAGAGCGCTCGCTCTACATATATATATGTCTTTGACTCGAATGTTCTTACCTTTTCCCTGGGCTTTTTTGCTTAATATAAGTCAAATCATTGATAACACCGAGCCCTGAGTATGGGAGCATAAAGAAGTCAGTCCTGCTGTTGCCAGCTTTTCTAGGTTTGAGTGTGTCTTTTAACACAACAAACTGGCTACCGCGAACGGTGCAGGAGTTGCCTTCTACCGGCGCGGCACTTAAGACAAACAAATAACCAACCAACCAACCAACCAACAGCAGGAGGCAAAACGATCTGTCGTTTACAACGTTGTGATCCACAGCGAGCGCGTTCTGAAAGGACTAGCTGGCTAGCTAGCTAGCTAGCTACCGCCGCCGTCGTCCTTACCGTCGCACCTAAGGGGTCTGTTGGGCAAATGGCAACGGGTCGCGGCGAGGGCAGAACGAAGAAGCGATGGAGAGCGAGTGCGAATTCGTTTACTCCGCTGCCTTGCGTAGACCGTGTTCCAGCGACCGTCGTCAACGACGGCACCGCAACGCCACAATGTAGCACACAGTAAACGCCGAGGAGTCAACTGGTCTTACGGCTCTTCGTTAGTCTATCTACATGGCGGTAGTTTATCCACCGCCTTTGAAACCATGATGCACAGTTGTTGTTGTGCCATTACTGCGTCCGCTGTTACTCTGTGACTTTTGCTCTCTAGCGTCGCTTAAAGCGTCACCAAATATATATGCCCTACCTAACAACAAACCAGCCAGTCTGCCTAGGTAGCCATTAAGGTCCGGTGTCTTGTGGCTATACACCGTTGAATCCAATGTCTTGTTGCCATCCACATCAACTGTATTAGGCATCGATCAGCTACCGAACACTACCGAGTTTGTTAGCAGTGATCACAACTAGTAAACATTAGTGCAGCTACTGCGGCACAACTACATGTAGGAAAATATTCCGAATTCAACTTGTACACCATATGTCTACTGCTGCTGTTATTGTTGTTACTGCTGATGATATTTTTTCGGTTTTTTCTTATATACAGTTTTTATATAAACAGCTATAGCGACGTGTGGCTATTTAGATAGCATCCATAGGCTATTCATTTTGTATTAAACAATACATAATTCGAGTGAATAATCGGGTGCATCCAAACGTAGCCATAGCAACCGTGGCGTTTCCTTATTACGAGATATAAATGCCAAAGAATATAAATGGTATATAATATTTAATGATAGCAGATACGGAAAGGTTATGCGCGTACGCGTTTTTGGAAAATAGCTCATTTTCCTGTTGAGCGTTGGCTGTTCCGTCAGTTTTTTTTTTTTTTTTCTTCTTTTTACTTATCTCGTTTTGCATGAATGCGGTTTGAAAACACCATAATGCTTACAATTCTTAGTAGATTTTTTTTTAATTATTTAGTTTTAACATCATATTTTTCTAATTTGTCCTGTGTTCTAAACGATAAATTACTACAGAGCCAGCTCATTGGTCGAGCCCAGGGTGTAAACTCAGTTTCCTATACGTGTAAGATTAGAATTTTTGCAAGAAGTGCGATTCTTGCTATATTTTTTTCTTATCGTTGTTTCTTGAAGATACAATCATCAAAAGCATCCAGTGTAATAGGGTGCATATACTGACTGTGCTATCGATATATCCCCAGGACATGTGTTTTTCCCTTTGCATTGTGTTAAATCTGGAGCGAAAGGACGAATACAGCATATCCTGAGCTGACCCATTTGGGTCCTTTGCTTGTGATAAGTAATTCTTAATAATTATTAAGTCGCGCAATAGGCAGGAAACTAGGGTGAATTTTTGTTATGATTTTTCTTTTTTGTTTGATGTATTTCAAACGCTTTCGACTAATTTCACTACCTTCTGCTTCTGCTGAAAAAGCGATAAGAAGGGAGTCTGTCCTTCAGTTTTTTCTTCGTTTCAAGCATTAAGAATTCGAAGTAATAATAGGCTTTAGGCATTTCTAACACGTTACGCTGAATGCTTCAGATTTTAGAATTGGAAGGGTCAAAGATTATCGTGTAAAATTAAGGCTTTTTTCCTAGTGTATAACCTGTACTCTAATTGGACATTGGAGCACAACATCGAAACATGTTTCAGTTGTGTAAAGCTTTGTGGTATTCGTGAAGTAATTTTTTTTTTGCTTAAGAGCTGCCGTCAGCAGTAACATATGCTCCATACTGTCTTTGAAAATCCCAGCGGGTGAAGACTACCTCCATAGAAGGGATTCTTGCCAATAGATATTCAAAAAAGCAAAAATTGAGTTTCTTACAGAAAACCTCGCGATCTTTTAGCTAACTGAATACGTTTAAACAGTCACGAGTAACAATGTCTATCTCTAGAAACATGTGTCACCCTTCTCTCGTCCGCGTTACGTGCTGCCATGGTTAACGGTAGCTATTTCCTTAGAAAGTTAGTAATTCAACTAAAAAGTTATCAAATTTCGCAAATATACCCGTTGGCTACAGAGAAAATGGAAGCTCGAATGGCAATTCGTTTGCCCCATCGGCATTTAGGTCACAAAGATAAAAGATAAGACTCTTTATTCTACCCAGGTACCAGCCATAATAAAGCTTTGTAAAAAGATATTTTCGAATCGAGTGTGTTAAACTCCAGACCCTCATCATTTGATTTATTGTGATCAGCTATCTCTCATTAGCAGACCTTCCTCAATACGCAAGCGGAGCTCTGGTTCTAGCAGAATCACGTATCTTGATAGGCGGTATCAGCCGGATTACTTGTTGAAAGCCCAAACGTTGAGGGTGCGAAGTCAGTTGAAGCATACGCTTTGAAAAGTCCGCTGAAACCAACAGCGTCCCGAATACGATTAAGGAGTATTTGAGAAAGAAGAACAGAGAGAATGTAAGCAACTATCCGATTACGAGATAACAGCGGACCTTAAAGTTGACACAAACACGACTTTCACCGAATATTCTGGACAATACGTTGCAGCCGTTACTTATGGACATCAAAGTGAGGGTTGAGCACCGAAAGGCCGAAAACTTAATAGGTTCGAAAAATACGCTGCTGATCTATAATACAAAAAGAAGTGATAGAAGATGCGGAATTAGCTATTTCGGAGTAGCAGCGATGAGGCTAGTTGCCCATAGTAGTAGTAGTAGTAGTAGTAGTAGCAGACAAGTAGTCGGCCATATTGAACATCAAGCTTCCATCCAATGCAAAAGTTAGTCGTGTTGAAAAAAACTCATCGGTAATATTGACAACGGTTCAACGACATTATGAGAAAGGATCGTTCCATCAAGAAAAACATTGTATCAAACAGAGAAGTTACATTCGAAATTCTACTTTCTTCATAAACATCTTTGTTAATTACTTGTTTTTTAATCTATCCTTGTACTTTGGTCTTACAAAAGTCAAGACAAGCGTCCTCTAAGTGACCAGCCGCAGACCAAATTGAATCACAGCGCTCTTTATCTATTTAGAGCTTTTAGCTATATTCAGAAAAAGAGTCGAAACATGTTGGCTCGTTGTAGGAATTCGTTGCGAGAGTTATAGTTGAGCGAGTTTGTTGTGAGTCGGCTTCATATGAAGCTGCTAATTGAAGACTGGAAAAGTGTTTCCGTGTAATACGGACAACACCATCGTGCAATACCCAACGAACGAAAAACCGTCGGAACTCAGTGCATGAATAACCCCTAATCTCGGCAGCAATAGCGTTCCAATCGATACTGAGACCACCAGCGCGGCCCGTTCCCGGCCTTTGGACGTACAACGCTTTTGAATTATACTACACGTTCAGTCGCCAAGCACGAAATGCGTTTGCATGCATACAGCATCCTGGCTAAGCATGTACATACCGAACAAAAGCTTGTGCTGGGAAATACAAATATTTCAGCAAGATTGTAACCTCCGAGCTAGAGACCTCATAAAAACTGTTTTGATTTTTCGTGGAGCACAAGCCTTTTAGTTTACCTACTTACTTTGACTGTAAGAATATTCGCATTCAAGAAGATATTAACTTTTTTCTTGGACCGCGTGTGTAATGCAAGCAGACTTATGGAAGACTCTGATCTTTCCGCAGTCCGGTGGACAATGTTGTTACCCGAAAACTTACCCCAATGGAAGCTACTTTCATCCGTTTTGAGGTTGAAACCGGATTGCATTGACAGGTGAAATCAGTCAACTTAATCAAGCAGGAAGATGATGGCCGATAACATTAAGAATGTAAATTTCAATGTATTTATCAATTTAAGAAATATCATTTTTGATACAGAAGGAATATACTGTAGATTTTGTATTAACACCAAACCCTGCTATAATTAGAACACTGTAGATCTTCAGGTCGCTTGCGATCATGATACTTTTTTTGTCTATTTGTATTCTTGATGATGGTTTTACCGATAAGGATATAGACGAATGTAATTTGCTTATGGTGACGCTGGGTCCAGGTTAGCGCTCGGCGCAATAGAAAACTCGTTTTACTACATTGTTCTATGTAGTATCTTTATAGGAGTATATTTATACTCAAATCCATGCACCAATTTATTTAACAGACCTAGTAATAAAAACAGAATATTTCTTTTAGCATACCAACACGGCATAACAACGGCTAAATACTAAATATTCAGCGATAGATCATTTTATCAGCTCGAAATTGTAAAGTGACGGCTTCTCATCAGTAGTACAAAGCAAACAAAAATCAGACAGCTCTTTACGAAATGTAACTTTTTCGTGAGGAAAAAAAGAGGCTATAGTCTGCTCTTTTGCTCAAGAAGTATTGTATGCCACCTATAGTGAGGTGTATATAGGTAAAGAGGTACGTGATTATTTTGAAACCTCAACAGCTATATCTGTTTGTTAAAAGGGAAGCAAATAATTATAGGATTGCTGCTCAGTTATTTGTAAGTTGAATTCTTTTTCATGTTTTCTTAGTCGTTTATCTTTCTTATAATTTAATCAAGAACAAAGCGTCTAGATAAGGAGGAGGAGGGGTGTTTCGAACAGGAAACTCATACCACACGGCGCTTTAACAGTAACAAAGGTTTTGGTTGTCTATATCTTGATCCTTTCTCTAGTCTTTGATAGAGCAGACGACTTCACCAAACTGAGGTTATAGTAAATGAAATACAATCTATAAGTAATTTTTATTGCATCCGCTTTGGTAGCTTCGGTAGTTGTGTCTCTCTGGAGCTTCCAGAAGAGCTGCGGGATGCTGTTTTACTTCGCAAATATAATGTGACAAGGACAGACCTTGTTGTCTAGGCAGCAGCTGACTATAGCTTTTAAACGCCTGTACATGGGCGTCTAGGCAAGCGTACTTGAAGAGCTCGGTAAGCTTCACGGTGTTATCTTGATAATCTTTCGTGAGTTGAAGATTATTTAACTGCC